TCTCGTCTGGAGCAGGCCGGCACAGCTTGTGGCAAGGGGGGCGGGGCGCCGAGGAAACTTGGGGCCCTGGGAGACGTTCATCTTTCCAGAGCTTTATCATTTTTTCCATAACACCACCCTCCCTGAAGGTGGAAAGTCCCAGCTGTCAGCTGAGGATACTCTCAATGTGCTTTTGTTCTCTGCCCTGCCCCCAGCCCAGGCAGCAGGGTGCTGGCCCAGGACGCCTCCCTCTTTATACCAGGCTGCTCCAGACTCGCTGTCCCGGCAGACAGCGCAATAAGACCACGGGACTGACTTCTCTGGTTCAGATCTTGGCTCTGCTGTTTGCTAACTGTGCAATCTTGGCAGGGTATTGAGCTTCTCCATGCTATGGTTTCCCTGTCTGAAAACTGGCATGGGGATAATATTGACCAGTTTTTAAAAAAATATTTTTTTTATTGATTTTGGAGAGGAAGAGAGATAGAGAGATCAATGATGAGAGAATCATTGATTGGCTGCACACCCTTTACTGGGGATCGTGCCAGCAACCCCATCATGTGCCCTGACAGGGAATGAGAACTGTGACCTCCTGGTTCATAGGTTCAACCACTGAGTCACCGCAGCTGGGCAAGGCTGACCAGTTTTGAGGATTCAATATATGAAAAGCACTTAGCACAGCACCTGCTACATAATAAGAGCGATATAATTGTTTGCTCTTATTATTACACTAGAGGCCTGGTGCAAGAAATTCTTGCATGGGTAGGGACCATAGGCCTGGCCAGTGATCAGGGCCAATCTGTGAGGTGACTGTCGGGACGATGGGGGACAGGGGAGGGAGGGTGCTGCTGGCATTGAGCATCTGCCCCCTGGTGGCCAGTGCGTATTATAGTGACCAGTTGTTCCACTATTTGGTCAATTTGCATATTAGGCTTTTATTATATAGGATAACCTTGGGCAATTCATCTCCTTTCTTTGGGCCTCAGTTTCCCTAATTGTACAATGAAGACAGCAGTTTCTTCTAGTCTGAGAGTAAATCCTGAATGCCCTTTCCTGCTGTGTGGCCTTGGACAATTTTTTTTTGGTTGTCTTAACTTCGATATACTCATATTTGAATGGTACATACCAAGTAGGTGGTTATGGTGATGATGAGATGAGAAAATGTGTATCAAGCACATAGCATGGGGCCTAGCACACAGAAAGTATTAAAACAAAGTTAGAACCCCCCCACCCCCAAAACACACACACACACCAGTTTATTTTGTTTTTTTTTAATATATTTTATTGATTTTTTACAGAGAGGAAGGGAGAGAGATAGAAAGCTAGAAACATCGATCAGCTGCCTCTTGCACACCCGCTAGCGGGGATGTGCCTGCAACCAAGGTACATGCCCCTGACCGGAGTTGAACCCGGGACCTCTCAGTCCCCAGACTGACGCTCTTCCACTGAGCCAAACCAGTTTCGGCACCAGTTTGTTTTTATAGATGAGAAATAACTTTCTAGACTATCACTGGCCATGTCCCTAGGAGGAATATTGTGGTTTTCTCACATGCTTTCCCGCCCATACCTTATTCACAGACTCCTAGAATCAGAGAGGTCAGGATTGGAAGGGCCATTTTACAGATCAGCTAATTAATCCACTAAACAAATATTCACCGATTGCCTATCATGAGCCAGGCACTGCTGTAGGTGCTCCAGAGAGAGCAGCGTTGAGGGCCCTGTCCTCATGGGGCCTCCGTTCCTGTGGGGGAGGCAGACAGTAAACCTGAGTACATGAATATGTAATACAAGTTCCGATTCAATCTCTTTATTTTACATGAGGGGAAAACTGAGGCTCAAAGGAGAAGACATTTTCCTAAAGTTCTCCAGTGTCACAGCAGGAAAAGGACTCCAAGCAAGTCTTTGCAGTCTGAGAATACCCTGCCTTCAACAAACCCTGGTTTCCCCAAGGTCTTACTATATAACTAGAGGCCTCATGCACAAATTTGTGCACCAGTGGGGTCCCTCAGCCTGGCCTGTGAGGATCAGGCTGAAACCAGCTCTCTGACATCCCCCAAGGGATCTTGGATTGTGAGAGGGCACAGGTCAGGCGGAGGGACCCCACCAGTGCACAATTGGGGCCAGGGAGGGTCCGAGGGAGAGCTTTAGTGTCCAGCCTGTCTCACCCAATCCCAACATTTACTGAATCTTTCTAGCTGTGGGAACTGCTTTAAGTACTTTACACATCATAAGTCATTTAATCCTCACATCAACTCTGAGGGAAGGAATTGTCATGAATCCTATTTTATAGGTGGGGAAACTAAGGCACACAGATGTGTAGGAGAGTAGGGTTTGAACACAGACCCCCTGGTTCAGGGTCCTTGACCTCAAACATGGTGCTGGCTGCATACTATCCACCCCCACCCCACATTGGTCTGCACTATTTCTTTCTTCCTCCCCCCCGCCCCTCTCCGGTCTCAATGATTTCTTTCACACTCCCGGGAGCCTCAGGTAAGCCCTCTCCCTCTCTGGCCCTCAGTTGCCCCACCTATGAGTTGAGTGGATTGGACTGGATTGTCTTTAGCGCCCTCTATGATCATCCTGACTTTTAGCTCCTTCTAAGTTTGTAATTATTTTGTTCACTTGTTTTCCATCTGCTTCCTTCCACCCCTGTCTCTGAGCTCCAGGAACAGTGCCCTACGCATTCAGGTCATTGCCATCTTCCCGGAGCCTGGCACTGTGTCCTGCACTTAGCAGGCCCTTGGTAAGTAAGTATTAGTGGAAGAAAAGGAGGAGAGGAGAGTCCTCAGTTTTCTCAGAAATAGCTCCTGTGCTCTCTCCCTGGCCCCTCTTCCTTTCTCAGCCTGTGGGGCCCCATCCCTCCCTCTCTTCTGCCCTCCCTCCTTCTCACCTCCCAGGGCCGACTCAGGCCCTCCATCCGGCCTGCATTTTTCCGGGTTTGATATCATTTTTTCCACTCTCCCGGCTGCTGCCGGCTGCCTCTGCCAACTTTCCACAACTACAGCCCCTCCCCCATGACCACAGGCTGGGGACAGCTTGGATGGGGGAGACCCTCCTCCTCCTCCCTTCCCTTCCCCGGGCTGGAGTTGGGACAGGGAAATCAGTGCCATCGGTGCCTGGCTGGCAGGGTGGCAAGATGGTCGGGGGTGTGTGGGGGGGTGAGAGCTACAGCTGGAGGCTATGGCCTGCCTGCCCCTGCGTTACTCTTTCTTGGCACCCTGTTCCTGGTGGCACGGACAGGGCCCACGTGGGTGGGGGAGGGGCTGAGGCATCTGGAAGGGCAGCTGTTTGGGGCAAGTGGTGTTGGGAATCAGGGACACGTGGTCCAAACTGTTTATATCTTGTTCTTTTTTCAAATTAGTGACACCCCTTCACCTTAAGCTGGAAACTCCTGACCTGACCCCAAGACCCCATCCCCAGCCAGAGGCACAGAGAGAGGAGAAGGCTGGGCCCTGGGGTCTCTTCCTCATCCTCCCTGGCTGGGTGACTGGGGTGTTCACGTCCTCTCTCTGGGCTTCAGTTTCTACAATCTGAAAAATGGGTCAGTTGGACTAAATTGGGGGTCCATCCTGGGGATAAGTGGATTGAGTTTCATGGAGTCTACTCCTCTTCCTTCCTTAAATTGTAGGCAAAATTGTGTTTGAAAGTCCATTTCCCGGGGGCTCTATAGCTTTTTAAAAAAACATATATATTTTATTGATTTTTAAAAAATATATATTTTTATTGATTTCAGAGAGGAAGGGAGAGGGAGAGATAGAAACATCAATGATGAGAGAGAATCATTGATTGGCTGCCTCCTGCACCCCCCTTCCCCCCCGTGGGGATGGAGCCTGTAACCTGGGCATTTGCCCTGACTGGGAATAGAACCCGTGACCTCTTGGTTCCTGGGATGACACTCAACCACTGAGCTACACCTGGCTGGCCTATTCTATTGATTTTTCACAGAGAGGAAGGGAGAAGGATAGAGAGTTAGAAACATCGATCAGCTGCCTCCTGTACACCCCCTACTGGGGATGTGCCTGCAATCAAGGTACATGCCCTTGACTGGAATTGAACCTGGGACCCTTCAGTCCACAGGCCGACGCTCCATTCACTGAGCCAAACCAGCCACAGCTCTATAGCTTTTAACACATTCTCCAAGAGGGCTGGATAATTGGGTACCGACTCTAGACTGACAAGATGGAAGTCCTGGCCACTTCGCGCACAGCAGCTGTGTGATCTTGAGCAGGAGCCTTCACCGGCCTGCGCCTCGGTTTTCTAATTACTGAACAGGGGTTGTGAAGGTTAGTTAATAGTTGTGACGTCTTGGTACACAGACAGCCCCCAACAAACACCAGCTATTGTATTGCCAGCATGAGTGCTAAACTTCTGTCCAGAAAACATTTCAGGACTCTGTCATCTATAAAAATGGTCGAATGAGAAACTGAGAGGCCACCACACTTGACTGTGGTTGTGCTCCACTGTGTCTCTCTCAGAGACCGGGCCGGGGCTGTGCCCAGCGGCTGGGAGAAGACCTGAACGCACAATACAGTTCCAATGACTTTATTGGCTGACCCCGACACAGGCCAGCAGGTGGCCTGTCTGGAGCCAGTGCAGATGGGAGGGTAGCAGGTGGGGATGCCCAGAGGAACCCCCATGAAGTCTGGGCATTCAGACGGGACATCCTGTAGTCTGTAGTGTGTTTTTTTTTGGGGGCAGAATGGGAAGATGGGGGAGTGTTTCTGAAGATTGGCCAGAGCCCGAGGATAAAGAAAAGTTGTTTTGTTTTTTACAAAAAGACGCAAATCGTGTAAAAAAAAAAAAAAATCCCCTACTGTGTGCCGAGCTTGGCCTTCGGGCCCCATAGTCTGTACATCCATCGCTCCCCGTGGCCGAGGCGCCCCTGCAGCTGCGGCTCCGGGAGATGCTCTGGCCCACGGTGCGCGCTCCAGGTCTCTGCGCCTTGGCCCTCGGGGGAGAGGGGCCCCACTCGGTGGCTGGGCAGAGCGTGTGCCCCCCAGTGTTCACCGCCCTGGGCGGCGGGCTCAGAGCACGGCCAGGTTGTGGCAGGACTTGGAGCGGGCCTTGAGCGCGCGGCGGCGGGCGCTGCGGGCCGTCAGGCGGGCCAGGAAGCGCCGCGCCCGCTGCCCGAAGCTGGCCCGCCGGCGGGGCGCGGGGGGCTCCCGGGGGCCCTCCCGGCGGCGCAGGCGCAGCTGGCGCACCACGCCCTCGAACAGCTCGGCCACGTTGTGCTGCAGAGCGGCCGAGGTCTCGATGAACTTGCAGTCGAACACCACGGCGCAGGCGCGTCCCTCTGGGCGGCGGGGACGGCCAGACGGACGGACGGACGGACGGACGGACGGGACAGACGGGCAGGCGTGGAGCAGGAGGAGGAGGAGATAAAGGGAGGAAGTGGGTGTTCAGTCTGGACTGGGAGCGGTTTTTTTTCTTTCCCAAAACATGGTGCCAGGGCACCCCCCAGACAGAAGTCAGATCTGGCTTGGAGGAGGTAGTTCCCAGGCTAGTAGGGGCTGCTGCTGGTGGCAGAATGGGGCTGGGAAGACAGGGGGGCTGGGGCTAGGTAGGGAAGTCTTGAATGCCAGGTAAGGAGTCTGATCTGATCTGAGAATGATGGGGGGTGGGGGGGAAGATTCCGGTGCAGTAGGTTGGGGATGTGCTCTGGGAACCTGCATTTTAACAGAATCTCCTGGGATGGTGCTGCGGAGTTTGGGGGTCTGCTCACAGAGCATATGGCCTTCTCTCCCCAGGATGCCCCTGGGCTGGGAGGCAGGGACCTGAGTTCCAGTCCTCAGCGGCTGGTGACCCAGTGGAACTGGCTTCTTCTCTCTGGGTCTCAGATTCCATAGTTTTTTAAGATTGCTCCCTGTGAGTAGGGCCATTTTTAGATCTTTATGAGTCCCATCGGATATGTCAAACATTAAAACATTCCCCACCTCACTTGAAGTGCTATTTATATGTACTAGTAACTTACACGTTTTGGTTTGCAGTGGCTGGATGGCACGCTGTCATGTTTTACAGACAATTCAAGCTTTCTGAATTTTGAATTTATAAATTCTCGCTCTATTTTGCAGCTGGTAAATGGAATTTTCAGGTCTCAATGGGTGAAAAGCCTGTAGAACGAGGCCTATCAGGCCTGGGAGATAAAATGTCTCTGACGAAGGACATGGGAGCGCAAACGGGAATTTTTAAGCAAAGAAGCGACAAGGTCAGACCTGGTTCTGGGAAGCTGTGGCAGCTGTTGAAGAGAACTGACTAAGTGGGGATATAGAATTAGGGTGGGGGCTGGCCCAGGCTGACGTGGGAAATAGCGGAATGAGTCCGAGGCTGTGGGAATGGGGTGAAGGGACGGTGGGGTTAAGGGAGTGCGAGAGGACACAGGCATGATCCCTAGCCTTCAGGCAGGGGCAAGGAGATGCAGAATGGGGGTGGTAGGTGGCAGGCAGTCCCTCAGATGAAGAGACCGGAGGAGGAACAGTGACCGGGGGGCTGAGAGGAGTGTGGAGGAGGAGGCTGGACCCGAGGGCTCACCTTCCACGGAGACTTCCCGGCAGCGCGCCAGGTCCGCCTTGTTGCCCACCAGGATGATGGGCACGTGGTCCGCCTGGTGTGTGCGCCTCAGCTGAATGCGGAGCTCGGAGGCGCTCTCGAAGCTGCCCCTGTCTGCGATGGAGTACACGATGACGTAGGCGCTGCCCACCTGCAGGCAGGACTCCTGGCTCCAGCTCTCATCCTGCAGGGGAGGGACCCAGGCCCATCCTCAGAGGTTACTAGGCCTCGGCTGAGAAAGGAAGGGGCTGGGATGGTTTAATGGGTGGGATGGAGCTAAGGTCTACACGTTGGACAGGTTTGAGGGACAAAGTCTGCCATAATTCCCTGTTCTCCTCTCAAAGTAGTGACTCGCTGATCCTCTGTGAGCCTGTTTCTCTGCTTGACAAATTGGGCTAAGGACACTACCTCACTACATTCTCTCATTCACTGGCTCCTTCTGTAGAGATAGAGATAGAGATAGAGATAGAGATAGAGATAGAGATAGAGATAGAGAGAGAGAGAGAGAAAGAGAGAGAGATATTGGTTCCTCCTCCTGCTAAGGAGGGTTTGCTGTTTAGCTGTCCTGGCTTTGCCCGTTTAGTGGGTTCAGGCATATCAGACAGTTCATTTGGTCTTCTGCAGTCTCCTCAAAAGAGAAAAGAGGAAGGGAGAGAAGTGAGGATGGAGGCTGATTTCAAGGGAAGGCATTTTCAGGACGGTTCTAAAGAGATGAAGGAGCAACTGTGGGGTGTCAGGATAGGGGGTGGGAGAGGCACAGGTCATTTTAGAAAGTGGAGTACTTGCAAGTTTTTTGACCAAGGAAAGGGAAGAACTGGGATGATTTGATACTCGATGTTGGAAGGTGATCTGTTGTCAGGGACAGCACTCGGACTGGACCACCTGGGTAACAGCTTTATAAGACACAGTTCTTGGCCTCCAAAGGCTCCTGGTCTGGGAGGGAGGCTGTGGAAATGGAGAGTGACAATGCACCGTGGGAAGTACCCATGGGAAAGTAGCTGGAGAAGCCGTGGGGGTGGGGGAGGGCGGCCAGGAGAACTCTACCTGGCGGGATGTGGGACGTTGAGTGGACCTGTGAGTGGGAGTTGAAAAGATGAGCAGGTGGACCAGGAGAGAAGAGAGAGGGCCAGGAGTGGGAAATATTGAGTGTGATGGAAGAATTGTGTGTGAGGGGGAAAGAAGCCAGAAAACTTATCTGATAACCAAGTAAGACAGATGAATAGAAAAGCGTCAGATCCATCGTCAACAGCACTGTCAAAGGGGGTGAGCTTTCAAGAGCCGTATCAATCTTTCCTCAGGTCAAATAACGGTGGGCCGAGCCAGATGGTTGTAGGTGCTCATAATGGGTTTTCAACCTTGACTCCGGACAGGCCCCTTCCTCCCTCGGGGTCTCAGTTTTCTCATCTGTTGAATGAGATGGTGAGTCTTGACCATTCATTCACTCACGGTACAAATATTTATGAAGAATGGGTAGGAGTATCACAAAAGCCAGTTGCTGCATGGATTGGTGGTAAGAATCCCTTGGGATGTGATTTTAAAGTATAGATTCCAGGATTCTACTTATACACGTTCTTATTCGTGAGGTCTGGGGTGAGGCCTGAGGATTTGGTTTTTAATTCTCTCTAGGTGACCCTGATGGTTAGATACTAGTGAGTGAGCATGCTACTGGGTGAGTCCTCTCGGATTCTGCCTCTCTGACTAGCCCAGCGATGGAAGGAATGGAAACTGCTACGGTACAGACCCTGTTTGGGAGCTGCCTTCACGGTCACTGACCAGAGACACTGGTTCAGCTATCTTATTTCACCTGTAGGAAAACCAAGGGCCAGAGAAGAGAAAACTTTCTCTTGGCCAAGCAGAGAGCTGGGCACAGAATCCCAGTCCCTGCTTCTAGGCCAGTACTCTGCCTCCTCCGTCTCCCAAATGGAACTTCCACGCTGATCACTCTTAATCTACGGGACTCTGCCCCATCGGATCCTCAAAGGAGCCTCTCCCTGACCAGCATCCAAAATAACAGCCTCTCCCTTAGCAGCCTGTGAGCTCCATGGGGCCGGAAAACATGCCTACCTTATTCACTGCGGGGTCTCCAGTGTCCTGGCCAATGATATATACTCAAAAGTTGCTTTTGCTTATTTTGCTTTTTTGTTTGTTTGTTTTGTTTTTATCCTCACCCGAGGATATTTTCCCATTGATTTTTAGAGAGAGTGGAAGAGCGAGGAAAAGAGAGAGACATGCTGATGTGAGGGAAACACACAGTTGGTTGCCTCCTGCACGTGCCCTTGACCAGAATCAAACCGGGGACCCTTTGATCCACAGGCCGGTGCTCTATCCACTGAACCAAACCGGCTAGGGCAGCAAGTGTTTCCCAATGAACAAATGGGTGAACCTCAGTGGGAGTTTCAGAAGGAGATGCTCCCTGGATTCCCTAGTGCATGGAAGTGCAGGCTGTGGGTTCCTACAGACCTGGGATTGAATCTCACTTGCTGAGAGCTTTGGGCATATTACTTAGCCTCTCCGAGCTCCCATTTCCTCATCATGGAATAGGGCTCAGAAGCACACGCACTGTATAATTTTTGTCTTGGCTGAATGTCATACTGTATGTCCAGTGTTTAGCACAGGGGCTGACGCTTAGGAAGAGGGTGCTACGTAAATGCCAGCTGCTGTTAAGAGCAACATCATCATCATCATTATGTTCATTTGGACCCGGGTCTCCTTTTATGCTTGTTAAGAAGAATCAGCTACACAGCTCCTTCATCCTCAGCCTTCGGGCCTGTCACTGGAGCTGTCAGCCATGTTTGTCAATCACCCAGCACTGCCCTCCTAACCCTCCTGTGGCCAGGCCCTCCCTGAGTTTTAGGGGAGGAACCTACTGCTTAGAGAGATGGAATCTCAGGTGATTTTTTAGATCCTTCTCTTTGCTTGGTTGTATTTCTTCAGAATTCTGTGGTGAGCATGTTCTACTTGTACAGCAAGGAAAACAGAAAACTCAAACAAGATAAGAAAAACATAACAGGGACATGGCCCTGCCTGCTGCTCTCTTCCTGCTTGGGAAGGGGCTGGGGAAGGACACCCTTTGGTCTCCCTTTCCCCTAGCTACTAAACTGTAATGAACAAGAGTCGTCATTATTTATGATTCTTCACCCATGTTCAGCCTTCTTTCATGCTCAAAACAGCTCAAGTCTCTGAAGCCGCATAAGAACTTAAAGAAAACAAACGGTAAAGAAGGCAGGATTAATCGACCCATTTATCAGGTGAGAAAACTGAAGCTCAGAGCAGGTAAGTCAACTGCACAAAGCCACACAACGGGTAAAAAAACGAAAGGGGGCCTTGGCCAATTTGGCTCAGTGGATGGAGCGTTGGCCTGTGGACCGGGAGTTCCCGGGTTCGGTCTGGTCAAGGGCATGTGTCTTGGTTGCGGGCACATCCCCAGTGGGGAGTGTGCAGAAGGCAGCTGGTCGATGTTTCTCTCTCATGGATGTTTCTAACTCTCTATCCCTCTCCCTTCCTCTCTGTAGAAAATCAATGAAGTATATATTGGGAAGGAAAAGGGGAAAAAAAAAAAGGGGGTTGAACCTCAGACATTTTGATGCTAAATTCAGTGCTCCTTCCTCTGCACAAGGTAGGTGGGTGGAATGGGATGAGGGGGCTAACAGGAGGGGGCGGCTTGCAGGGGAAGGACATGGCTGTGGGAGGGGACCAGCGGAGTGAGAACAGGAGGTGAAGGTCAGGAGGCTCTGTCTTTGGTTGGAAAGGCTGCTGAGGAGCTGTGGGTGTTGGAGGGTCTGGTATGAGGCTCAGCACCCACCTCCCCAGATCCTGCGTGTGCCATACCAGTTTCTCAGCCTCCCAGGTGTCCATGACCAGCAGGGTGGTGTCTTCGCCATCCACGGTGAGCGTCCTCTCGTACACGTCCTCTGTGATGGAGGGAGGAGCTGGGTCTCAGGGCGGGCCTGGGGAGGATGTGGCTCCCAGCCCCTCTTTATGGTCACTGCACCCCCACTACTTCTCCTGGAAGTGTTCACCACACCCGTGTGATGCCTGCTTCTCCTGATAGGTCAGAAGCTCCTGGAGGAGGAGCCCATGTATCCCACGCTGCCAGCAGAGTATGAAGCACACAGTAGGTGCTGCCGGCAGAGTATGAGGCACACAGTAGGTGCTGAGACTGCGTTGGTGGTGGTTGTTATTGCCGACTGAACGGGTGTGGGGTGGTGCGGTTAAAGTTGGGATGAGAATTCTCCAGTCCTGCTCTGTCCCTGGCTTACTGTGTCCCTCAGGCAGGTCATGTCACCCTCTCTGGGCCTCCGTCTCCCCATTTGTCACACCTACAGGCGCACATATGCACACCGCTCGCACGGGTTCTCACTCTTAGAGAGGCAGAGCCTGGAGAAAGGGCCTGGCTAGAGTGTCCCCACCTTCTCTCTGCTTTTAACCAACTCCCCACCCCACTCACCCTCGTCGTCCTCTCAGCCAGTCCTGCAAACACCTATCTTCGTTTCCTCTGTCCTTTCCCCATCCCCCATTGTCCTAGGGCACCTGCTCATTGCCTCTCCTGGGAATACAGGTGCCCAGGGCCCAGAACTGGGCATCCGAGAGTCTCCGTTTTGGGCAGGATTTTAGTCTTGCCACAGGGTGTGGTGGCCATGGGTGGTCATCTATGGAGCTGGGTGATCCGAGAGTCCGGGGAGAGCTGGGGCTAGGGGTTTCTAAGCGAGGTGGAAGTCCACCATCTCTTTATACTGAGCCTCAAGCCCACATCTCTCACCCATGAACGCTGGCAACATTCTCACTATTCAAGGAATCCCTCTCCCACAGGCATGGTGCAGGCTGTGCCCTGCGAGACTCTGGGGTCACATTCCCGTCATGATCTGTGAGTGACGCCCCAGGAGCGGAGCAGCGCCTGAGTTGGACAGCCTTGTGCCCTCCATCCCTCCTCTGGCCGCATCCCAGCCCCCCAGCCCGTGTCCCTACCTCCCAGCTGTTCGTGGAGCTCCCGCTCCTGCTTCCCTGCGAAGAGGCTGGCCAGGCTGGTCTTCCCCACGCCGGGGTCCCCCAGAAGCACCACGCGGTACAGGGCCTCCCAGGAGCCTTCGGAGTCGCTGGAGTCAGAGGACCAGCCGTCGGGGGCAGGCGCAGGTCGCTGGGTGGGAGGGTTGAGGGAGGCCGACTGGCCCAGCCGGGGGTGCCCGGATGGTGTGGAGGTGGAAGGTGCCGCGCTCAGGCCAGGCTGGCGGCCCCGGGGGGACAGGGGCAGGGGGGTGCTGGCTCGCCGTCGCAGGGGCGTCTTGGCTTCCTGCTGGGTGTTTAGTGTCATCCTCGGGAGGGGGCCGTGGCTCCTTCCTTCCTCCTTCTGTGAGTGAGAGGGGAGTGGGGGTGAGCAGGAGCTGCGGGCACCCTCTGCAGGGCCCTGAGGCGGCTTCCTCTGGTCCAAAGGGGAGGAGCGGGCGCCTCCCTCCTTGTGTGTGTGTGTGTGTGTGTGTGTGTGTGTGTGTGTGTGGCGGGGAGGTGGGGGCTTTCCGGCTTCAGGCCCAGGGTCTGCCTGGGAGGGGGAGGGTGCAAGCTGTGCACATCCGTGTATGCACACCCAGAGAGTGAGTGTGCAAGCTGTGCACACACATTTAGGCACGCCCAGAGGGAGAATGTGCAAGCTGTGCACACACGTGTATGCACACCCAGAGGCCGGTTCCTGTGCCTTGAGGACAATCCCCTCCCCCAGGACACTCGGACAGTGGAGGGGCAGCTGCGAGGTGGTGTCCACACGAGCACGAACACTCTGTGGACACAGACCTGCCTCTCCCACTTAGGGCACGAGACCCACGGTCTGAAAGGGTGTGCATTGCCCGGGGCGCCCCTTCCCACAGGCCTCTCCCTTGCGGGGGTGGGGGGTGGGGGGTGGTGGTGGTTGGGGGTGAGGAGGAGGGGTCAGGGTCCCGGGGAGGGGTCACTTCCGCTGCCCCGCCTCAGGATGGCTGAAGAGGAGGCGGGGGTGGGTGGGCTGGGGCTGGGAGCGCACCGGGGTCTGGGGGTTCCCTGCGCGGTAACCCGAGCGCCCCGGCGCCATGGGAACGCGTGCCGGCCCGCCCCCTCCGTGAAAAATTCAGCAGCGGCTGGGCTGGCGCTGCCTCCGGGGCTGTTGGGGGGCGGGGGCTCCGGGGCTCCGGGGTTCCAGGCTCGGTGCCGGGACAGGGTCCTGGCGGGGCGGAGAGGGGACCTCCGGGGCCGGGGTGCATGTGCCATTCCCCGATTCCCCACTTGATCAGCCCCGGGCCCTGGTGGTGAGTCCCCTGACCCGGGCAGGGGAGAGGGGGGGGGGGGGTTCTGGTCCGGGGCTCCCCAGCCCTCTGGGCCCCGGTTGGAAGGTTCTCACCCCTGGGATGTGAGTTCGGGGCCCCCCGCGCCCCGCCGGCCCGCAGAGCCCCCCATGCAGGCGCCGGGCGGACTCCGCTCCAACTTGGCCAAGTTGGCGGCGGGCCGGCGGCCTTACCTGGGCTCTGGGAGGGGTCCGGGGCCCCCGGCCCGCGGCTGCCGGGCGCTCCAGGCTGTCCCTCCGCCTGGGCGCAGCCCCTCCGGCCCGTCCCGCCCGCCGCCCGCCGCCCCGCGGGGAGGAGCCGCCACCCGCCCCGTCCGCCCCGCCCCGCCCCGCGGGACAGCCCGGGGTCCGCCCCGAGCCCGCCGCCCAGTGAGCCACCCGGGTCAGCGGCCGCCTCCCGGCTTTGGTCCGGGGCGGGGGCGGCAGGGCCGGGCGGGGCCGGAGAGAGGAAGGAAGCGGGTCTGGGTCCTCAGGGCACCCACGGCTTCCCACGCCTGCCATGCCCCCCCCCCCCCCCCCCGACAGCCTGGGTCCTTACAAACTCCACTCGGGGAGCTGGTTTGGAGGTTCGGAACCCCAGGCCCCACCCGGGCAGATTCCGCAGTGCGGGACGGGTCCGGGGAGGGTCCGGGGTCTGCGTTTTAAACAGGCGCCCCAGTGATCCCGGTGCAGGGCGCGGACTCCGCTCCCAGAGGCTCCGCTTTGCACGAGGAGAGTGAATGTGGGAAGGCGGCGGGGGGCGGAGGGGCGTCCGGGAAGCCCCGCACCGGGGAGATCTGAATGTCTCACTGTGGCAGCAATCACTCCCTTCATCACTCACTTACTCACTCACTCACTCACTCACTCACTCACTCACTCACTCCCCAATTCTGGGTGAAGCGCCCTAGGAAGCCAGGGCTGCCCTGACCCTGGAAGCATGGCCTCCACTCCCCCATCCATATTCACTGAGCACAGGTGCCGGGACCTGGGTCCGCCTGGCTCAGGCGGGGAGGGAGAGTGTGCAGCTTATGTTATCATCTGCCTGGGTTCGTGGCTCATCTAATCCCCACGCAACACTGAGGAGGAACATGCCCAGGCTCAGCTGGGCCCGCGCCTCGGGAGCCTCTCAGCCTTCTTCTTTTTCCTCTCTCGGGTCCATAGCTTTTTTATTTTTTATTTTTCATTTTTTTAATTGATTTTTTAAAATTTATTTTTTATTTTTTTTATTTTTTACAGAGAGGAAGAGAGAGGGATAGAGAGAAACATCGATGAGAAAGAAACATCGACCAGCGGCCTCCTTCACACCCCCTACTGGGGATGTGCCCGCAACCCAGGTACATGCCCTTGACCGGAATTGAACCTGGGTCCTTTCAGTCTGCAGGCGGACACTCTATCCACTGAGCCAAACTGGTTTCGGCTCGGGTCCATAGCTTTTTAAAAAAATCTTTTCTTTTCCAGGCATGTAGGCGGAGGTTATAGAGGAGTCCGTGGCTGTGGGGAAGGGGGTTCGGCCACCCACGGGCCAGGATCTGAGCTCCTGGGGAGGGTGCTTCCGCGTAGGTGAGGAGGGACTGGAACAGGTATGTGTGTGAGGCCCGGGGACGGGCTGTACCTGTGGGTGGGGCGCGTGGTCCTGGCTGAAGGGGTCCAAGTGTCCGGCTCAGGGCAACACCCACAGCGGCCGGGCCCTTCACGCCCGGCTTCCTTCTGTGGTCTGGCCCTCTGGGCTCTCCTTCCCCACCTACCAGATGGGCTGGGAGTGGTGAGGCAAGTGTGAGTCGCAGCTCCACTCTGTTCTCTGGATTTGGTTTCTTTCTTTCTTTTTTAAATTCTCGCTGGAGGTGGGGATGGAAGGTGGGGAGACCCTCACCCAAGGATATTCTTTTCCATTGATTTCCAGAGAGACTGGAAGGGAAGGAGGAGGGAGAGAGAGAGAGAAAAACATCAACGTGAGAGAGACACATTGATTGGTTGCCTCCCACAGGTGTTCCCACTGGAGCTGGGGGACCCGCAAGTGCATGCCCTTGACTGGAATCGAACCCTCTAACTCTTTGCCAGTGCTCTAACCACTGAGCAACCCGCCAGGGCTGGATTTCTGTTTCTTTATTTAAAACTCTAATCTGCAAGTATTTGGTGACAGAAGATGATCTGACTTTGGGTGGAAGATACACAATGCAATATACAGGTCATGTATCATAGAAATGTATACTTGAAGCTTGAACCCTATTAACCAATGTCACATCAATAAACTTAATAAAATAAATAAATTAATTAAAGTCATAGCTGTTTTTGCTCAGTGGATAGAATGTCAGCCTTCAGACTGAGTCGTCCCTGATTCAATTCTAGCAAAGGACACATCCTGTTTTGCGGGCTCAATCCCCACTAGGGGGCGTGCAGGAGGCAGCCGATCAAGGATTCTCTTTCATCATTGATGTTTCTATCACGTTCTCCCTCTCCCTTTCTCTCTGAAACCAATAAAACAAATATAATAAATAAATTAAAAAATAGAGGGAGAAAATAAAACTGAAATCTATAATAAACAGGTTACACTTTGCTGTAAAACTTCCAGTGGCCTACAATAGAAAAGCCTGAACTGGCTGTTCCAGGCCTATTGTAACTAAAAGCAGGGCAAGGGGTTAGCGTGGTGGTGCAGGTGGGGTGGTGGGAGAGGTGAAAGGTCTCGAAAAAGTTAAAAAAAAATTTTTTTTATTTCAAATGTACATGACAGTGAGAGAATAATACAAGAAACGACTTGAGCTTTTAAAAACCATTGTATAAGACAAATGGAAACATGCAAACATACAGAACAATGTAACGTTGTGAGTTTTAAAAAGAAGCTGTCCTTTCAGGGTCATTTCTAGTCTCCTCTCAACAAACTCCTTGCTCTGGCCACGCCTCACACTTCAGGCACATCATGTCTCTTCTGCCTGGAATACTTTCCTCTCCTCATCTTTCAAGATGCAACTCAGATGCCTGTGTCCCAGACGCTGTTCTGAGCTCTGTACACATATGATCTATCTCCGGGGTTCTCAGACTTTAGCAATATGCTCGGATCAGTCGGAGGGCTTCTTACGCCACAGCTTGCTGAGACCCGCTCCCGAGCTTTTGATTCAGTAGGTTTGGGGAGAGATTGAGAATTTTCACTTTTAACAAGCCCCAGGTATTTCCTGCTGCTGTCTTGCGGGACTGGGTGCCACACTTTGTGTTGTTATTATTTTAAATATATTTTTATTAATTTTCAGAGAGGAAGGGAGAGGGAGAGAAAGAGAGAGATAGAAACATTAATACTGAAAATCATTGATTGACTGCCTTTTGGAAGCCCCACACTGGGGATGGAGCCTGCAACCTGGGCATGGGCCCTGACCGGGAATCGAACTGTGACCTCCTGGTTCATAGGTTGATGCTCAACCATTGAGCCACACCAGCCAGGCCACACTTTGTATTATTTTGTTTAATGTTCTAAATGAGTTAGGTAACAATGACTCTGTCTGGGGGGAGCTATTAGTCTTCTCGTTTCCTGCATGGGCCTGAGTGCATGCTGTTTGGACAGCTCAGGGGGTTCTGCTTTCACCTCCTTGGCTTCCGGAAGGGACTGCTCCCTGCAGTTAGCTTTGCACGGGGGCTTGTGATCTTTCCTAGACGATAGCCCGGGGCTCAGAGAGGCTGAGTGCCTTGTCCAAGGTGTCACAGCAGTTAGAGGGAGTCGCTGGCATTGAAGCAGGTCTCTCTGAAGCCAAGGCTCCCCCTCCCCCTCAGTGGGGAAGCTGTCCAGTTTCTGACCCCAGACATTGCTTCAGGAAATTCTGTCCCCAGTTTCAGAGCTCAGCAACCTCTGGCAGGTGTGTCCAGCCAGTTCCCCACGTCGCTGGCGGAGGTCCAGCTGCATCCTGAGACCACAGGCCTCAGACGCCCACGTACGTCTCCCGCGGCCCACACTCCGTCCGGCCTTGATCTGCAGCTGAATAAAGGCTGGGCCCCGGCAGCCCGGCTGGGTGGGCTGGCTCCTCTCCTCCGTGTTCTCTCCCCAGGGGCCTCCCCGCAGCCTGTGGCCATGACACAGCTGCTGCTGCTCATTGTGTTTCTCCTGGTCCTGGGCCACGTGCCTCCAGGTAACATCGTGTGTGTGTGTGTGTGTGTGTGTGTGTGTGTGTGTGTGTGTGTAGAAACAAGGAGTAGGTTCTCAGCTCCTGGGGAGCAGAGGGGACCTGGACTAGTGTTTAAATTCTGGCCCCATCACTGGCTTTCTGAGCAGCTTAGAGTGGGCTGCTAGATCAGCCTGCACCTCAGTTTCCTAATCTTTAAAATGAGATTCACTCAACAAATGTTCATTTGAAAAGTATTTACTATGTGCCAGGTTCAATCCCCACCAGGGGGCGTGCAGGTGGCTGTGGATCCAGTAGTGAGAGAAAGCATGGAGTTGATATGTTAGTGGAGACAGGAAATGACCAAAGAAGCATGTACTGTTTCAGGTGGTCATAAGGGCTAAGAAGAACAAACACAGGACAAGGGGTTAGTGTGGTGTGTGCATGGGGTGGTGGAAGAGCTGAAAGGTCTCTGATACGTTACTTTTTAAAGTTTTTAGTTCAAATGTAACTGAGATAATAAAATCAGGAGCACGTGAGCTTTACAGAACCTTTTATTATGAAAAAATGTAAACACGCAAAAATAGAGAATGATGTAATGATGTGAGTTTAAAAAGAAATCCTTTTGAGAAAGCTTCAAACCTAAATTTAAAAACATGGTCTAGAAAACTCCCCGTATCCATTACCCAACCTCAACAATTATCAACTTGAACCAACCCTGCTTTGTTGTTCACTTGCCCCTTCTGCCCAGTGGATTATTTTGAAGTAAATTTCAGATCTCTTGTCATTTTAGATAAGGTGGGTTTGAGCAATGATCTGACTACAGTGAGAACACAGCAGGCTTCTGATTAACGTTGTTTGGTTATAAGGCTGATGAGGCGCTTGTATATATCAATTAGCCTGTGGTAAACTTGGGGTCTTTATGCATTTCATTTAAAGTCACAGAACCTATTGATGATGTTAAGTGAGGACTTAGTATATAAGGATGATCGTCCCAGACAGAGGGAGCAGCAAGGGTGAAGGAGGCAGGAGGGCAATAGATGATATATATATATATATATATATATATATATATATATATATATATATAGAGAGAGAGAGAGAGAGAGAGAGAGAGAGGTTTCAGGAGCAGTGAGGAGCACAAGAAGAAAAGCGAAGGGAGATGAAGTCAAAGGAAGAAATATTATAGCAGATCACGTCGGAGAAAATAGCGGCTGTATACATTTTCTCCGACATGATCTGGAAGGTTGGAAGGTTGAAAGGCGATGATGTGATAACAGTAGTTGTTGTAGGAACTGCCTTCAGTTGGAGTCAGGGTCTTGGGTTCTGGTGCCAGCCCCACCACTTACTGGGTCAGGGAAGTCGGGCAAGTCTTCCTTTATCTGTAAAATGAGAGGTTCGGCCTAGAATGAGCCTTGGTTGCTTGAACTCGCTCAGCCGCCATTCTGATAAGCTCACTTGCCATTTACTGAGTATTCACTGCCTGCCAGCCACTGTGCTAACACGACCAAAGCCCCGTCACTGCCCTCTGAGGAGGATGCACAGATGAGGAATCTGAGGCCCAGGCCCCGCGGCTGGGAAATGGCAGAGCTGGAATTTGGACCCAGAAGGTCTGAGCTGGGTGCACACCACACCGGTAAGCAGCATACCACAGATCCTCTTCGGCGTGAGGGTTCTCTGCCTCACGGAGATTTTGAGATCAGTGCTGCATCATTCTAAGTTCTCTACCTTGGCAGAGAGAGGATGGGCTGGTCGACAGTGCCGAACAACACCCATGGGTGTCTTTGGAGGATTCTGTGGAATCTCTCTTCACTCAGGGAGCGGCACTTCTCCCCTCCCCGTCCCATTCAGCCCCAGTTCTTCTGATGTGTAGAAATATCGCGGTAACAAGCAGGCCTTGTGGGAGCGGTCCTCCTCCCTTCCCACTCTCCACACCCACCCTGATTGGCAATTCGGCACCCATGGCTTCCCACCGGGCCCTGACCACCTCTCTGCCGGTGCCTCCTGTTCGCTGAATGAATAAAGGCAGGTGCTTCCCCACCCGCTGCTGTGGCCAAAGGCCCTCGGAGAGGAGAGGGCACAGGTCCCAGTCCCCCAAAGCCTCACCCTCTATGGATACTCTTTCACTGAATTTTAATGTTAAACAAGTCCGTAAGTGTGTGAGGCAGGTAGTGTTAAAGGCTATGCGTTTGGATTCTGGAGCCAGATTGCCTGAGTTTGAATCCTCGCTCTGCTCCTTCATGGCCGTGTAACCGTGGGAAAAGCTGTGAATCTTTCTGTGCCTCAGTTTCCTTAACTGTATAACAGGGGCTGTTATATAGTTAAGGAAAGACCAACTACAGTGTTACTTTGAAAATACAGTGTTACTTTGAAAAGTGCTTAGAGTATACCTGGGGTGTGGATTAATCTGGACAAGAAATTGGTCTCTTAACTTATAACCAGTAGTCTAACTTGTGACCTGTGGGCTAAGCTGAACTGAGATCTGTGATCTAAATTGTAACTGTAGTTGTCTCTGGTAGTCTAGCCCAGTGGTCGGCAAACTGCGGCTCGCAAGCCACATGCGGCTCTTTGGCCCCTTGAGATTTTAGCAAAGGCCAGCATAGGAGCACCCTAATTAAGTTAATAACAATGTACCTACCTATATAGTTTAAGTTTAAAAAATTTGGCTCTCAAAAGAAATTTCGATCGTTGTACTGTTGATATTTGGCTCTGTGGACTAATGAGTTTGCCGACCACTGGTCTAGCCTGTTACCTCTAGTCTAACCCTTGACCTGTGGCCAGAGCTCATGTACTGTGGCCTAACTTATGATGGGTGGGCTGCCCTGCGGCCAGTCATCTAACAGATGACTAGAAAGCGAACTGGTAACTTATTATTATTATTTTTAAATATATTTTATTGATTTTGTACAGAGAGGAAGGAAGAGAGATAGAGAGTTAGAAACATCGATGAGAGAGTCATCGATCAGCTGCCTCTTGCACACCCCCTACTGGGGATATGCCCGCAACCAAGGTACATGCCCTTGACTGGAATCGAACCTGGGACCTTTCAGTCCCCAGGCCGACACTCTAACCATTGAGCCAAACCGGTTTCGGCCGAACTGGTAACTTATGATCTACCCTGGGCGCTGTGGACTCATTGTGGTCAGTGGTCTCACCTGTGACCTGCGGCCTCACCTTTGGGCCGTAGTTCTCTATGTTAGCAGTGGCCTCACCTGTGACCCCGGGCTCTTCTGTGACCTGTGGCCTTCCTCTTCGCAGGGAGAAGTGAGTTCAAGCGGTGCTGGAACGGCCAAGGAGCCTGCCGGACCTACTGCACCCGGCACGAAACCTTCATGCACCTGTGCCCGGACGCCTCCCTCTGCTGCATCCCCTATGGCGTTAAGCCTGCGGTGGCCCACAAGCCACAAAACGTGTAGCCGGTTCTGGGGCCGGCACACTCGCTCTTCATAAAACACATGCTGCCGTAGTCTCCTCTTGCTGCTTGCTCACCACCCTCTGCCCCCACCTCCTCCGGGGCTGGGGAGGGCAGCGCGGGGCGGTCCATGATGGAGAAGAGATGGTGGAGGGAGTGAAGTGCCCGAGGAGAGAGGGCATTAATGCCCAAAGGAAATGGTGCTGGTCTTGCCCGTATCACATCCCCTCTGTCCAACTTGGGGGGGAAATTGCTCAATTTTTCTCAGCCTCCCCAGTCTTCTTGTCCATAAAGTGGGGATAATTATAATATCAGGAGATGAGAACTTTATAGAAGGACTGCAAGAAGAAAGGTAGAGTTCATAATAGGAGTTCATTGTAATGATCACAGGAACTAACAAGAACGTGAGCTAATTATAATAAAATTTAATAATAGAGTTAAAACCACATTTGTGGCATGCAGAACGAGGTGGTGCATTAGGCTTGACAGGTAGATCCTACTGGGAGTGTTCCTTTATCTCCCGTCTTAGCATTTGAAGAGCCTGCCCAGGTAGGAAATAAGGATTTTATGAGAGCAGCGTTTTCACAGAAACAGGAGGAGCGATAGAAAAAAAAATGCTGCCCTCCCAGGCCCACGGAACTGTGGGGACAGCGAGTCAGGGAGAAGCCAGGAGCCGAGTCGGGGAGGTGGGTGGGCAGACATGCATTCTAACCTTCCCGTGTCAGGATTGTGTTTGGCTGAGAAAACAGAAAAGCTAATTTTCAGGAACTTCTTTTTCTCACGTAAACAATCTGGAGGAGGAGAAGCCCAGGCTGGGTGGCTCCATTGGTTGAAGCGCTGTCCCTGCACCAAAAGGTTGAAGGTTCAATTCCCAGGACTGGAGGCAACGGAGAGATGTTTCTTTTTCTCTGTGTGTCCCCCCACCCCCCACCTCTTTCTCCCTCCCTCTCTTCCTCTCCCTAAAACATATCCTCACATGAGGATTAAAAATAAAATCTGGAAGTAGTGGCAAACATGTCAGGCCAAGCATCTCTGGGGCACTCTGGGGCCACATAATTGCAGGCCTCATATTGTTTAACTTTAAAGCAAGAGGTGGGGGGAGGGTTGGCACGGAGTAGTTTCTCACTTTTATCAGGAAAACAAAAACTTGCCCTGGAAGCGGGCCAGCCTGGGTCACAGGGCTGCTCCTGACGTGGGGAGGAAAGGGTTGAGCTGTTCCAGCCTCCAGCAGAGACTTCAGCCTGGGGGGGAAGGCAGTTGAGGGACCCTCAGGGTTGGCCCATCTTCATCCTGAGATGGAGCCCAGAAGGGGGCACGGGTGTGGGGTAAGTGGAGAGGAAGCCCAAGGGCGGAGAGGCTGCGGTCCGCCGTCCTCTGAGACATTTCAGAGAAGCCCAGGGTAGAGGTGGACCCTGTGTGGCCAGGCTGCGAAGGGAGCAGGAGCGGGGGAAGTCAAAATACCTGACATCAGAGCATCCGAAGGGCTGCAGAGCAGAGTCTTGGAGGCGACCTGCTGTGCCCGGTGTGACCCCTGTAGTTCCTGGAATGGGAGGGACCGGGGGCTGTGCCAGAGGTGCCGGGGTGGAGGAGACCGCAGCTCTTTCCCAGCAGGAGCGTTCCGTTAACCTAATCACAGTGCGCGCCTGCGTCCCAGTCCTGCTCTCCAACCTCCCTTAGGTTCTGAAGACGTTGACCTGGGAGCCACGAGGCCTGTTTTAGGACCCAACCCTATGGGGGCAAGGTGGTCATGGTCAAAGATGGTCAACGCCTAGAAACAGGACAAGATCAGAACCCCAGAGATGACCACAATGTCCTGGGGAGCTGCTCTCTCCACCAGGCCCCAGGGAGTCCGCAGGAGGCCAGACCAGCTTGCCAGTAACCGGCCATCGCCGAAAGCCACCTAGGTCCCAGCAGATGCCAGCTACACCCAACCCCCGAATCGTCCCTGCCTGACCAGCCTTCACATTGGGAGGAGCAGCGGGAGGAGAGGAGGCATCTGAAAGACACAGCAATCAGAGACCAAGTTTCTCCGAACTCAAGAAACCTCAAGAGGATATTTAAATTGTTGCATTAGACCAAGTTTTCAGCTGGGTTGAACTAAACTTAGCTCTGCACCCTGACCCTCCCCCTCCGTTGTTTCCCAGAGAGTGAGGAAGCTAGGTTTCTTCGCACAGTCTCAGGTGCAGTTTGGGGGAGGCTGTGACTTGTTGCAGAGAAGATGGTGGTGATTTCTGGGTGTGAGGAGTCAGACAGACCCAAGTTCAGACCCCGGCTCTGCCATGCACAGGCCACAGGCCGTGTGATCAGGGCGAGTCCCTCCCTGTGTCTGATGCCAGGCTTCTTCTCTACAAGATGGGCTCGATGACAGCTCTTAATGAGGCAGCTGAGGGGTTCGAGGGGGTCATCCAGCACTTTGTAAGTGTCCAGTGGAAGAAAAGCTACAACGCTGAGCGAGAGGAGCGAGATAGCCTTCTTCTCCACCTAATTCCGGACTTACAGGAAATCTGTAAGACAGGAAATCTGTAAGACTAGCCTAAAGAATTCCCATGGACCCTTCACCCAGTTTTTCAAATACTGACAAATAGTGGCCTGGCCAGCATGGCTCAGTGGCTGAGGGTGGACCTATGAGCCAGGAGGTCACGGTTCTATTCTTGGTCAGGGCACATGCCGGGCTTGTGGGCTCCGTCCCCATTAAGGGCTGGGCAGAAGGCAGCCCATCAGTGATTCTCTCTCACCATTGATGTTTTTATCTCTCCTTCTCCTTTTCTCTCTCTGAGATCAATAAAAATACATGTTAAAACACACACACACACATACACACAAACTAAAATTGACTTCCACCTTACCATTTCTCTTGCTCTTTTTTTCTGCTTACTTTATTGTACGAATACGGTATATAATACATATAACATTTAAGAAAGTGTTAATCGACTGTTTAATACGTTTTAGTAAGACTTCTGGTGAACAGTAGTTAAGTTTGGGAGGGAGTCAAAAGTTATATTCGAATTTTTTACTGAAACATTTACTGTATGTGCATATATATATTATGTATATAATATATATATAATATATATATTTTAAACTTATAAACTAGTGTGTATGTATGTGCATGTATAATATATCCATATGATTATAGGTATCTATATATTTGATATAGCTATATTATATATAGATATCTTTCTATGGACATAATGATTATGTATACTTTATGTAAATCTATGTGCATTTTTCACACGCATTGAGATTCTCCTGGTGGAGTTGAGGTTAGCAGAGCTTCTCATTCTGCTGGCCAGGCGGCTCCCTTGGGCTTACAGGAAGAGAACAAGGCAGTTACAGCGATGGCTATTGTAGGAGATCAGGCACGACATGGTGGCTCCTCACTCTTGGGTTGTTGTTTTTTGTTTTTTGTTAATCTCACTGGAGGATATTCCCCCCCCCCCTTTTTTTTGAGAGAGTGGAAGAGAGGAAGGAAGAGGGAGAGACAGAGAAACCTCAGTGTGAAAGAGACACATCAATTGGTTGCCTCCTGCATGCTCAGATCCAGCTGCAACCCAGGTACATGCTCTTGGCAGGATTCAAACCAGAGACTCTTCCGAGCTGGGGCTGGGGGGCGGGGGTGCCCTAACCACTGGGCACACCGGCTAGGGCCCCACTTGAGTTTTGATGGCAGAGTGTTGAGTGGAATTGTTCATTTTACCAGCATTACCAGTACATTTATGTTTGAGAGCCAGGTGACAATCACATATATAATAACTCAAATTGCCCTTGGAAGGCACTCAGAAGTGTGCCTTTATGTTGACTGACAAACACAGCAAGTTTTTCTCGGTCAATGGAACACATTAAAGCAAAGGAACTGATTGGTTATGTTTAGGGGCCATTTTTACAAAAAATAAATATCTCTCCACAGTGGGATCCACAATGCATGTGATGCCTTTATTGCCAGGTGCTTGTGCTGCAACCGAAACCAAGACAATTCTCTTCTCCACTCAGGCACTGGCTTCCTTTGGCTTCTTTGGACTGTGGTTGTTCAGATTTGCTATCTATCTATCTATCTATCTATTATCTATCTATCTATTTATCATCTATCATCTGTCATCTATCTATCATCTATCTATCTATCTATCTATCTATCTATCTACATATCTATTATCTATCTATCTAACAAAGGACTCATTTTTAGAATGTATGAAGAACTCATAATCAGTAAGAAAAAGACAGCTCAATAATAGAGTGGGCAAATATTTGATCAGGCATTTTACAAAAGGAGGTATCTGAGTAGCAAATAAGCCCATGAAAAGATTCTCAAAATTATTAGTCTTCAGGGAAGAGCAAATTAAAACCACACTGGGATGCCAGCACACACCTACCGGAATGATTAAAACGAAAAGCAAGGCTGCTCACGGCAAGTCCTGCTGAGGATACGGAGCAGCTGGGATGCAGACACGTTGTGATGGGAAGGTGACGTGGACAGCCACTTTGGAAAAGCAGTTGCAGAGTTACTTACAAATTAAATAGAAACATGCACATGTAAGTATTTCTCTCTGAATGCTTATAGCAGCTTTATTTATAATGTCCCATATCTGGAAACAACTCAAAGGTCCGATAAGTAAGTGGATACATTGAGTTACATCCATATGGTACAATCCTATTCAATAAATAGTAATAATTTACTGATACACGCATGAATTAATCTAAAAAACTATGTTAAGGCAAAGAAGTCAAATATAAAGGTGTACCCACTAAATGACTCCTTTTATATGAAGTTTAAGAAAGACAAAACTACCCTGGCTGGTGTGCCCAGTGGTTAGAGCGTTGGCCTGCACCCCAAAGAGTCGTTTTCATTTCCTGACTCGACCCCCTGGTAGGTATATGGATGCTTCTCTCCCTTTCCCCTCCCTCTTTTCCTCCCTCTCTAAAAATCAATGGAGAAAATATCCTTGGGTGAGAATTAACAAACCACCACCACCAACAAAACAGAAAGGCAAAACTAACTTGATTTAAAGTGAGAAAAAAAGTTTCAAAAAAATCCCTGAAAACCTTATTTCTCTCTGATTTTATGAGCACATGTGGTTGAATTTGGGTAAGTGACCTGGACTTGTGATGCAACTGCACTTGTCTCAGAAAGAAGACGATCCAGGAAAGGGAACTCTGCTAATGGCTAGATCAAAGGAGAGATACTGCCCTCTAGGGGTTGTTTTGGGAATTTGCTGGTGGCATTTTTTTTTTTTTTTCCTTTCAATTATCAAAATTAATAGGGCCGCTACGGGAATTTAGTAGGTTGGGGACTCAGGATAATTCTCCGGCCTAGAATCAAAGGCTGTTTTGTATTATCAAGGGATGCTTACACTTTGTTCTGGTTATCGCTTTGTCCAAAATGTTCACCATTTTGGAAAGTCAGGACACAGACAGCAAACGCTCTGGGTAGTATTTGAGGTGTACACTCAGCACACCCTTTTATGCCTGCATTTGTAGCTGTTACACTCATGCTGTGAATGGTACAAGATCTGACTATTTTATTAGGTCTTAAAATGCCATAGTACATATTACTATAAAAGTTTCTTTTATCTTCCTTTATATTATAGTTAGCTCTTAATTTGATTTTTCTTGAAATTATGTGAGTTAGATAGGTTATAATACTTATAATACTTATGAATATATTAAAAAAAACACACAACTCACCCCAATATATTTTTTCATTGATTTTCAGAGAGAATGTAAGGAAGGGAGGAGGGGGAGAGATGAGAGAAACATCAATGTGAGAGAGACACATCAATTGGTTGTCTCTCGCATGCACCCCCTACCAGGGCTGGGAAATCTGCAACTGGGGTATGTGCTCTTTTTTTTTTTTTTTTTTTTTTTTTTTTTTTAACAGAGAGGAAGGGAGAGGGACAGAGAGTTAGAAACATCGATGAGAGAGAAACATTGATCAGCTGTCTCTTGCACACTCCCCACTGGGTATGTGCCCACAACCAAGGAACATTCTCTTGACAGGAATTGAACCTGGGATACTTCAGTCCAGGGGCTGATGCTCTATCCACTGAGCCAAACCGGTTAGGGCGAGGTATGTGCTCTTGACCAGGAATCGAACCTGCCACCCTTTGGTCTGTGGGCCAATGCCACTGAGTCAAACGGGCCAGGGCAGATATTTATGAATCTTATTTTAAGGACAAAAAGGGGGCATTGCAAAGTATTTATTACTAGTAGGCCTGTGCATGAATCCACGCGCCAGTAGCTCTCTACAGGGCCTGGCCACTCCATGCCCACTGCCCAGAGGCTCTCTGTGGCCCAGAGGCCCATCCGTTGCCAGGCGTGGAATGCTTACCAGGCAACGAAGCAAGCATTCTGCCAGGCTGCTCATGTTGCCCGCTCTCAGCGGCCGCCCCCCTGGACTGGGGGACTCTGGCAGGGCTGAGAAGACTGGGCACTGCCATCTTGTGGCTATGGGCGCCACCATCTGTGTGATGGAGTGACAGTTAATTTTGCATATTACCCTTTTATTAGATAGGATAAAAAGAAGCATTTGGTCTAATAGGACCCAGTAAAAATCAAGCTCTCACCAACAGATTATGGGACCTCACGAGGAGATGGAGAGAGGAGCTGTCCGCTTCCTCAGACTTTCACCAAGAAGGCCCATGTTTTATTGATGCTCATTTCCCTCTAAGCATAGGGGCTCAGGGTTTCAGGAGGCGAGGAGAGACATATTCTTTCCGATAGAAGCTCATTGCAAGGATCCACGGAGAAGTGAATACCCAGGACACTGTATGTCCCTCCCATTTATACGCTTCCAGCCTTGCAAACAGCCTTGGGTGAAATGACAGGTCTATGCAGACCAGGAAGCTGCTCTCCCCTATGTCCAGACACAGTTTGATTGGACAAGAGGTGGGCACTTCCCCAAACCAAGCTAATTCCATAGGCTGGCCAGTAACCCGCACACGAGGTGGGTTGGTAAATCAATGTTGAACTGGATCAATCAGATTCTCTGTTACAAGGATTTGAATTGGGAAATATAGGGAATAAAGCAATTCATAATTGGAGTTGAAGCTGAAGAATTACCTTAATAAAAGTCAAGAGTGCTATGGGTTGTGGGAGGAGGGGTGGAGAAAGCATACTTTGAGGAAGTAGAAACAATGAGTAAATAGACACAATTGGAGGTAAGACAGACAGTCCTCTGCTTCAATACATAATGTAGTAAACGTTTAAATCCAAACTTCAGTGTTGTGAGGGCTACCGCACTGTCTACCTCACCTTGGATCTCTCTTTTCTTGTACACCAGGCTTTAGCTACATGTCATTCTTTCCGTCTCTGGAACAAGCCCCTCGCCTCCTAAAAGGCCTATGCACATGCTATCTACGTGGAATATTCTGCAAACTCCCTTTCAACTCTTTGCAAACATGAGTTCTCATCCTGCAGATCCCAGGTCAAATGCCACCTCCTCAGAGAGAGGGTTACCCTGAGAGCTTTCTCATAATCCCCCCCCCCCCCCCCCTGTTCTCAATTATTGTACTCTTCATAGCCTTTCCATTGTATGTGATTATGAAAGTATTTCTTCTGTTATTTTTAAAAATATTTTTATTGGTTTCAGAGAGGAAGGGAGAGAGAGATAGAAACATCAATGGTAAGAGAGAATAATTGATTGGCTGCTTCCTGCACGCACCTTACTGGGGATTGAGCCTGCAACCTGGGCATATGTCCTTAACTGGAATGGAACTGTGACTTCTAGGTTTATGGGTCAACACTCAACCACTGAGCCATGCTGGTTAAACTGAAATTATTTCCTGCTTAATGCCCACTCCCTCTCCTCCCCCCCTCCCAGTTTGTAGACTCCCTATAATGCCAAAGCCCATGTTTGTTTTATTTAATACTATAGGCCCGATGCACAAAATTTATGCACTCAGGGGTTGGAGGGTTCCATCAGCCCAGTCTGCACCCTCTCACAGTCCAGGAACCCTCGGGGGATGTCCAACTGACGGCTTAGGCCTGCTCCCCATAGAGAGTGAGCCTAAGCTGGCAGTTGGATATCCTTAGCGCTGCTGCAGTAGTTAGTGGGAGAGGCTCCCACCACCACCACTGCACTCGCCAGCCATGAGCCCAGCTTCTGGCTGAGTGGCATTTCCCCTGTGGGAGTGCATTGACCACCAGGAGCAGCTCCTGCATTAAGCATCTGCCCATTGGTGGTCAGTGTGCATCATAGTGACTGGTTGTTCTGAAGCTTTGTCAATTTGCATATTAGCCTTTTATTATATAAGATATATAGGATTGTATAACTAGAGACTAGTATGGTGCCTGTCAAATAGCTGATCAACAGATATTTGTACATGACTAACTGAACAAATGAATATATGTTTTTCAGAAATTATAGTTCAGTAGATCTAAAACATGGCAAAAAAAATTCTTAGCTTCACAATAGTCGTGCATTGATTACGGATGGGGATATGTTCTGAGAAATGTATTGTTAGATGATTTCATCGTTGTCCAATCATTATAGAGTGAATTTATGGTTAGAACTTATGGTACATTGGACTTCCTAGGAAACTGCCCCATTGTTTGCAAGTGGTGGTACTTTTTCACATACCCACCGGCAGCATATGGGAATTCCAGTTGTTAATATTTGTTTCTCGACAACAATTGCTGTGTTCAATTGCTTTAACTTTAGACATTCTGATATGTGTGCAGTAATATTATATTGTAATTTTAATCTGCATTTCTCCAATATTTATACATTTTCATGTTTTTATTTGTTACATACATAGCTTTTTTTGTGAAGTGTCAGCTCAAAGCTTATTTTGTTACTGGGTTGTTTGCTTTTTAAAAAAAATTAAATCTTGAGAGTTCTTTACATATTTTGGGGGGAGAAAATCCTATATAGGATGTATAATTTTCAAAAATTTTCTTTTCTAGGCCTTTTTTGACTGATTGAGCTTTTTCATTTATTTTTTTCTGATCTTACAATTCTTAAGGCACTTAGTGTTCATAGCTTTTATCTCTCTTTTTAAAAAAGCTTAATTTTTATATATTGAGAACACAAAAATACTTAAAAAATATAAAAGTATAAAAACAATAACAATATCTCTATCTCTACCATTAACTTACATTTGTGCTTTATTGATAGTTTTGTTATCTATGTCTATGTCTCTAACAAAATTATTTGTTTATATGTGCACAATTTTGATTAAATTCTGGGGGAAATTAAAAAAAAAGATTTTGGTTTGTATTTAGGATTCAATTGGTATAAACATTGCCATCTCTAAGATATCAAGTTTTCTAATTCATGAACATGGTATACCCCTCTATTAATTTAGGCTTTCTATAAGGGCTTCTAATTTTCTGCATAAAATTTTGAACATCTCTTTGTAAGGTTTGAGGCGCAGGAAACGGGAGTCGGGGACCAAGGGATGTTAAAGGAAGAAGTTTATTCCGCACTAATAGGCAAGATTCATTACAGAGGAGGGTAGAAAGACCAGGATTAGAGGAGAAGGAGTAGGAAGGACCTAGCCCAACTGCCTCTGCAGACTGGAGAGGCAGCAACCCTGCAGAGGAGAAGACGCCTTTTGAGGGGAGGAACAGGAAGGGGTTGGGCCCAGGGCACCCGGCACACGCTGATTGGTGGTTCAATGCCTCAGGGATGTCCTGCGCAGATGCCGGTTATGTCATAACTCCACCCACCAGTTGCGGGGAGGGAGGATCTATCGCTTTTGTTTGAAATATTAATAGGTATTGTGATACAGGGGAGGGACAGGGTAGACTGACGGGCTAACACAGGAATTAGCCGGAGGTGTTTATTGATAGAATTCAGGAATCCTTAGGGTTCAAACTCAGAATAGCATCATGTGCATTTTTATGGCTTTAGGCTTCAGAGAACTCAAAATAACCAGGGCTGTTGTTTTGGCTGATACTTGGGCTTCACACAGCATGGTTTATTATTTGTGCAGTAAACATAGATCTTTTCTTTCTGGAAGCACGTGTGGCGGCATTTGCCAAGAAGATTCCAGCATTTTTGGGTGCCACCTGACACGAAAAACGAGAGAAGAATGGAAACAATGTCAGTCCTAAAAAGAGATCGGGTCTGGATTTGAACTGTTTATAAAAAGAATTAAAACAGAAGTGATAGGAGACCCTCAGTTTCCCCTGCTGTCCTTTCTCTTTTCTTCTTTCCTTTCCTTTAAAAAAATTATGGTCAAGTACAAATAATATAAATTGTATCAGTTTAAGCATTTTAAACTGTACAGTTGAGGGGCATTAAGTACATTCACAATGTTGAACAACCACCATCACCATCTAGTTCCAGAACTTTCAAAATCACCCCAAACAGAAACCCTGCATCTATGTATGCTTATTTCCCCTCCCCCCAGCCCTGGGCCATCACCTCATATTTCACCTTGGCCAGCCAGGCTGATGGTGACCTATCAGCAAGCTAGAATCCAAGGCTTCCCCACTATTGGCCTGCTGGTCGACCTAGGACATAGAGACAACTCATTTGAGAAAAGTAGGGCCAAGAGAATCTTTTGCTATAAATACCCGGATTGGTCTGGACAAACGGCCAGCATTCCTTGCCCAGTTATCGCTAACAGACTGGACACAGCACATCGTGGCGCCATCTGGAGGAGGATTAGAAGTGGCCAAGCATCTCCCTCTGCTTTCCTGCGGCACAAGATAGACCAGAAGGTCCCTAATTCTCCGTGTCTCTGTTTAGGAAAAACAGTGAGAAGCGAAGAGCCTAGTAGGTCTTATCAGGAGTAGACCTCTACGCATAGGCAGCAGGAAGAGGTGTGAACAGACTAAACCCAGGGACCAGAGGGACGGTTTGGCTGATAAAGGGCTGAGCCAGAGGGACTCTGCCAGGATTGAGACTGTATCAGCCATGGGATCCGGTAGCAAGTGCCAGCAGGACAGTCACTGACCATAAACCAGGAAGGATATCGTCCTAAAAGCCAGTGAAGGTTCAGCCTAGGGCCCTACCCCAATTCCTTATGCTCCTGACAAAGGGCCTTTGCACCCTCAGATTGATTGTTCTACCTCACAAATCCACACGGCTTATCCCTTATCCTCCCTCAGGTCACAATGAGCCAGTCCATGAGCACACCTTTAAAATGGCAAATCCACCCCTCTCATATTTGCTATCCCCCTTTCTTGTCTATTCTGTTCATTATATTCATCATTTGAAATTCCATGTTTCATTTAGTTACATTTTTTTCTGTCTCCCTCAATAGAATGTAAGCTCCAGGAGGACAGAGATTTTGCTTATCTTGCTTTGTTCTGATTGGTTCACTGCTCTTTCTCTTGTACCTATCACATCGCCTGGAACATCAACTCTATCCAACCATGTTTACTGAATGAACCACTGAATTAAATCATGATATATCAAGTTACTGTCTCTTTTCTTAAAAAAATATATTTTATTGATTTTGTACAGTTAGAAACATCGATGAGACAGAGTCATCGACCAGCTGCCCCTTGCACACCCCCTACTGGGAATATGCCTGCAACCAAGGTACATGCCCTTGACCGGAACTGAACCTGGGTCCTTCAGTCCCCAAGCCGATGCTCTATCTATTGAGCCAAACCAGTTTCGGCAAGTTACTGTCTCTTAAACCCAATTCTATTCTAGAAAGAAAAAGGGAATAAGAAAAGAGAAATGCTAAAAGACTGAATATTTATTCAGAGGGACAGAATGAACTTGGTAACCAGTTTAAGCCAGAAAGGCTGAATAGTTAACTGCTGAGTTTAGGCACAGCTCCTATGGTCCATCTCTTTCTCAACTGTCCCACCAGCATGATGGCAGTTCCAGGGGGAATTCAGATGAGTTACACAAAATAGAGAAGCTGCATGCTTTCGCACACCAAAATTTCAGTGTGTTCATCGCTGTTCCCTCAACCTGGCATTGCTACACAGGCACGATTGCAACAGTTCAAGAAAGGAGGACATTGCTGAAACTGGTTTGGCTCAGTGGATAGAGTGTCGGACTGGGGACTGAAGGATTTCAGGTTCTATTCTGGTCCTGTACCTTGGCTGTGGGCACATCCCAGTAGGGGGTGTGCAGGGAAGCAGCTGATAAATGTTTCTAACTCGCTCTCTCTCTTCCTCTGTAAAAAATAAATAAATAAATAAATAAATAAATAAATAAATAAATAAATAAATAAATAAATAAAATAAAATAAAAAATCAATAAAATATTAAGAAAAAGAAAAAAGGAAAAAAAGAAAAAAGAAAAAGAAAAAAGAAAGGAGAACATTGAAACTGAGCAGCCAGGCTGCTTGCTGGGGGTCCCAGTGTGAGAAAAAGCTGGGGAGTTTCTAAGCGGGTTCTGGCTTCTCCTCTTTACCCCAGAAGAGCCGTTTCAGGCATTTTCCCACAGACAGACACAAGGGCTGAGGTCAGCCTGTTTGAGGAAATTCACACGTTCCCACCCCTGGGAAGGTCGGAGGACAGCCTGGGGGTGGGCGAAGCTCTGGCCGTGGAGCAGGAGGGGCAGGTGGCTCTGGCTGGAGTGGGTGGAAGGGGCAAGTCTGATGATGGCCCTTCTCTTCCTCAGCCTTCCCATGGCTCCCTCCCGGCATTCCAGGCCCCTGGCCCCGCCCCTCACCCGCCTCCAGTTGTGTCAGCTTCCTAAGGCACCGCCATCTCTGCCCCATCTGGACTCCGCAGAAGGTGATTTCTGCAGGGCACCTTCTCGACTGCCACCTCTTTTCCTTTCCCTTCTAACTTCTGCCCATTTTCCAGGGCGTGGGAGGAGCCCTCCGGGAGGGTTCCCCTGGCCCTCGGGCTGGGCTGGTTTCCCCCACCCTTCTCCCCCCCATGGGCACCCCAGCCTCCTGGTCCCCTTTATCTCATCTGGAGTCACTCTGGGTTGTACATGGCATCTGTCAGCGCCCTCAGGGCCAGGCCCTTTACCTCTGTGACCCCGGCTCCCCACACAGGCTCCGGCGCAGAGACAGCAGGAGGAAACGGGAGCTTTTCTCTCCTGTTCCGGGCTGTGACCTTGACTCAGCCAGGTTATTGTGGGGACTATTTTGCGACAGCGTCACCACTGTCCTCTGCTCTTCCCGCTTCTCTTGTCCATCCCTTCCCAGGTGCTGGGCTCCCTGGCCATGCCCAGGGGCAGCAGTGATGGTATGGCTGAGATCCGCACCTGCTGGTGACGGTGCCCTCCAGCCGGCTGACGGGGGACCTACCTGGCGGGAGCTGGGACAGGAGCAGCAGGGCAGTCACAGTCAGCAAGAGGAACTTCATGGCTGGAAGCGGCCCAAGGTGGAGCTGCAAGTCCCAGGCGAAGGCAGAGCTGATGGGGGAGAGCTCTGGCCTCTCCGGCTGGCGCTCCCTCTGGCCAATCGGAACAGCTGCAGCCCAAAGTGCCCTCAGCCGCCCACGGGCACAGCCCCCGCGCCCCTGAGCTGCAGGGTGCAGCTATGCACCCAGCTGGCAGGCCGCCTTCCGCCTTCCGTCATTCAGGTCAGCAGGGGACAGCTCGGGCAACAGCAGGGCCCTGGGTCCAAGACTTGCATGCGTCCTTCCACCCAGCTCTAAAGCAAGGGGCCACGAGGGGGCGCCACGTTCACGGAATCCTCCAGATTGCCTGTGAGGCTGAGCAGGGTCATGGCCAGGCAGATGAGCCCAAATGGTGCTCCAGGCAGAGAGTCAGTACAAAGGCGCATATTGGTGTTGAACATGAGAGGTACGGCGTCCCTGGAGCTGAAACTGGAAGGAAAATGATAGTAAGAGATGAAGGTCCCGGCACCAGCCTGGCTGTGCCCTAGCAGAATTGCCAGCAGCCAGGCAGGGCCCCCTGCCCTCTGACTACGCACAAGGCCTTACCCACAGGCTCCTGCCTCTGGGCACCAGGCTGAGCCCCTTCTCAGAGACCCAAGAACCAGCTAATTGGGGTTTCTTCTCTGAACTCTTAGGTTTTGCCCAGAGGACACCAGCAAACGGGAGGCTTTGCTGGCCTAGAGGCCAGGCCCACTCCAGGCACAGTTCAGTAAGAGATTCTGTCCTTGCATTAAGCTGGGGCTACAGCGGTCCGTACACTGAGAGTCATGGGGAGCCACAAGTAAACCTGCTACCCTCTCAGGTGTTTTTGTTGTCGCTGATAAGCATAAACAAGACACTAGAAAAGTCACCTACAAGCTAATCTCCAAGTGTTTTCATAGCTCAACTACAGTACCAACTGAATTGTAAAACAAAACAAAAAATCCCAAGCTTTCGAGTTATGATTTTATGTGAAGATGTTCCCAGCCTGATCGGCATGGCTCAATGGTGGAGCGTCGACCTATGAAACAAGAGGTCACGGTTCGATTCTCAGCCAGGGCACATGCCCGGGTTGTGTGCTTGATCCCCAGTAGGGGGCGGGCGGAACACTCATCATTGATGTTTCTAGCTCTACCAGTGTTGGGGGTGCAGGAGGCAGCCAATCAATGATTCTCTCTCATCATGGATGTTTCTGTCTCTTTCCCTCCCCTTCCTCTCTGGCAGCTGAAATAAATAAAAATATGAAGAAAAGAGAAAATGGTTCTACTGGTTTGGCTCTGTGGATAGAGCATGGGCCTGCAGACTGAATGGTCCTGGGTTCGATTCTGGCCAAGGGCACATGTCTGGGTTGCAGGCTTGATTCCCAGTAGGGGGCGTGTGGAAAGCTCATCATTGATGTTTCAATCTCTCTCTCCCTCTCCCTTCTTCTCTGAAATCAATAAAAATATATTGTGTGAGAGAGAGAGAGAATGCTTCCAAACTGGAAATGTTCCAGGCATTTGACAGAAGCAAAAGTGAATGCTCTCTAAAGGAAGGCAAGGTCATCTAGACCCCAAGAAACCACAAATCCAAGGACAATCAATAGTACATATTAAGATTATGAAGCACACAGAGAAACAAGGCACCATCAACAAGAACCATAAGAATTACACCTACAAAACTTCAGTTGTTAAATTATCAATGTCTCTATGTGTGTGTGTGTGTGTGTGTGTGTGTGTGTGTGATGTTTCATATAACATTTAATCAGACTTCCAGAAGGAGAGGAGAGGAAATGGTTTCCAGGTAATTTCAGAGAGTTAATGGTGAGAATTTTCTAGAAAATTACATAAATTCATAGATTCAGGAAACTCAATGAATATCAAGCAGAATAAGTAAAAAGAAAACAACTTTTAGACATGTCATACTAAAACCGTAGAGCACACACACACACACACACACACGCAAACACACTTGATAAAAATATCTTAAAAGTAGCCAGACAGAAAAGAGAGATAATCCCTAAGAAGCAACAGTTATGCTGACAGTTGACTTTAAAAAAAATATTTTATTGATTTTTCACAGAGAGGAAGAAAGAGGGATAGAGAGTTAGAAACATCGATGAGAGAGAATCATCGATCAGCTGCCTCTTGCACACCCCCTACTGGGGATGTGCCTGCAACCAAGGTACATGCCCTTGACTGGAATCGAACCTGGGACCCTTCAGTCCGCAGGCTGATGCTCTATCCACTGAGCCAAACCGGTTTCAGCTAAAAGGACTTTTTAAAAATATATTTTTATTGATTTCTGAGAGGAAGGGAGAGGGAGAGAGAAGAAACATTAATGAAGAGAGAGAAACATTGATTGGTTGCCTCCTGCATGCCCCACACTGGGGCTCAGTTTGCAACCCCAGCATGTGACCAGGAATCAAAATGTGACCCAGGTTCATAGGTCAATGCTCAACCACTGAGTCATGCCAGCCAAGCCCTAATAGGAATTTAAAAAAAAATCATCTGTTGTGGGTTGAATGATATGTCCCTCTAAACCATATTTCAAATTCTAATTCCCAGTTATGCTAATGTGACTTACCTGGAAATAGGATCTTACCATGTAAGAACAGGGTCTTCTATGATTCTTCATCCATATCCATGGACCCTATCCCGAAATAGCCTGGTGTGGTGAGACCCATTCAGGGATCCTGGAGAGAATACTAATGGAGAGAATATTAAGGCTTTATAATAACCAGAGCAAATCTCTATGCACTGACTACTCAGGGAGCAGGCCCAGAGTGGGATTGTGGTTTGCAAATGCCACATAGCATGTTGGATGTCAGGAACAAGGGGAGTCCTCTGGCCCCAGTGTGTAAAGAGAGCTGGAGCCTGCTGAGGCACCTTAGGTGTCAACTCAATTAGCCTGTGATGGTGGCAAAAATGCGCAGCACTCCACATTCTGTGCCTTTTCAGCATCCAGGGAACCATAGCATACAGCCCATCTGTTCAATCTGCTCACTGGTGCAGTTAAAGCCCAGAGAGGGGAAGTGACTTTCTTAAGGTCACACAGCAAGTGAGCGGCACAGCCCGCAGAAGAAACTGAATATTTTCAACTCTTCCCTCTCTCACCCTCAATGACAAAATCCTTCCTGAAGCTGACCATTGTAGACAATGGGGATTTTTCTCTTAGAGAGAAAATAATCAGGTAGACACATTCTCCCCAAGGTCTGAATGGCTGTCGTTCTTTCTCTACTCCTCTGCTCTCAAAATGGAAAATCAAATTCCAAAAAAATTCTAACTTACATGAAAAGCACAATAACGGTGGATCTCTAGGCCAGATAAAGTAGGGCTTTGTAGGGCATAGTAGAGATTGTGTGTGTGTTTTTTTCTTCTTCACCGTGTGATGTGGAGTCTTGGAGGGTTTTGAGTTATAACAAGGGCTGACATCTATATATATATATATATATATATATATATATATATATATATATATTTTTTTTTTAAATATATATTTTATTGATTTTTTACAGAGAGGAGGAGAGAGGGATAGAGAGCTAGAAACGTCGCTGAGAGAGAAACATCGACCAGCTGCCTCTTGCACACCCCCTACAGGGGATGTGCCCACAACTAATGTACATGCCCTTGACCGGAATCGAACCTGGGACCTTTCAGTCTGCAGACCGACGCTCTACCGCTGAGCCAAACCGGTTTCGGCTGACATCTATATATTTTAAAAAAATCCTTTTGGCTGTTGTATGACTCCTCCCTGCTGGTCCCTAACAGGTGACGATGGCTAAAAGGAGACAGATGAGCTCAGCGTGGGAGTTGGGTGCGGGGGCACTGAGATAGTGACGGAGACGTGTGGGGGAGGCAGGCTGTTTCGGGGCAGACTGTACCCGTGGGCAGCCGAGGGCACGTGGAAGCGACCCAGTTGATCATGTCCTAGCTGACGAGAGCGAGCAGAAGAGTCTAGAGCTCTCACCCCCTGGCTTGTCACCTCTGGAGACCTCAGACGACTCCTTGGGCTACGCGAAGCCATGACGCCGTTCATGCTCACTGTGGTCATGCTGGTGCTCTTGTCCCAGGCCGTCCCAGGTAATCAGGGCCTCTCCGGGGCGGGGCGGGGGGCAGAGGGTGTCTCGGTCAGGGCACTCCGAGGATGGGCTGGTAGGTGGCAATGTGTAACACCACTGATCTGGGGAAGAAGAGCCCCCAAGTACTGGGTTCAACCCTGCCTCGTCATTTATTAGCTCTGTGATGTCCCCAGAAAATGATGTGGCTCCAGTTGGTTTCAGTGCACTCCTTTGTCCATTTGAAATAAAAAACCAGGTTGAGGAATCAACATGAGCACGCTGGAATTTTGGTGTGTAACAAATGCAGCTGCTTTATTTTTTAAGCCCACTGAAGAGGGGTCCTGGCACTCAGACAGCCATCCTTGCCAGGAACAGGTGGCAGCTCTTAGGAACCAGCGGGAACCCCAGACTGTTCCCTCAGCCACCCTCTCAGACCCCGTTTCTTTGGTCAGCTCCAGGGATTGGGGACAGGAGGTCTGTTGCTGGAGGAGGCGTGGGGTCGGGCAGGGGAGGTGTGGAGGCACAGTGACCCTTTCTGCCGGCAGTCGCTGGAGTCACTTGGATTTTGCACTATTCCCAGCTGCCTTAGGGCAGCCTGCAGCACCAGTCACTGCACCAAAGCCACGGAACAGCTTTAAGTAGAGAAGGGCCCTCATCAAACTTGCCCAGGCCAAGGTGCCAGCACCATCCCCTCACCAGAGAGGAGCTTGCTCCCTCCCCCGGCCGTCCCTCGGTGCCCCCAGCATCTCTCTAACCTTCACAGGCCAGCATGTGAGTGGATTGTTTGGGAGCACTGCCTCACACCTTGTGCCAGACACAGGCATGAAACACCATCATCCACCTCCAAACCTGGGGTTAGAACCCACTCCATCATTTTTTAGCTCTGTGGCACCTGACAAGCCATTTGGCTGCACTGAGTTCCAGTGTACTCATTTCTCAATCCTATATAATAAAGAGGTAATATGCAAATTGACATTCACTCCAACACACAAGATGGCCACACCCATGTGGACACAAGATGGCTGCTACAAGATGGCCAGCAGGGGAGGGCAATTGGAGGTGATCAGGCCTGCAAGGGGAGGACAGTTAGAAACGACCAGGCTGGCAGGGAAGGGCAGTTGTGGGGGGGGGGGCAGGCCTGCAGGGGAGGACAGTTGGGGGGGACCAGGCCTGCAGGGGAGGACAGTTGGGGGGGACCAGGCTTGCAGGGGAGGGCAGTTAGGGGCATTCAGGCCAGCAAGGGAGCAGTTAAGCATCAATCAGGCTGGCAGAAGAGTGGTTAGGGGGTGATCAGGTTGTCAGGCAGAAGTGGTTAGCGGCAATCAGGCAGGTAGGCAGGTGAGCAGCTGGGAGCCAGCAGTCCTGGGTTGTGAGAGGGATGTCTGACTGCCCATTTAGCAGTTGGTCCGATATCCCTCGAGGGGTCCCAGATTGGAGAGGGTGCAAGCTGGGCTGAGGGGCCCTCCCTCCCTCTCTGCCCATGTGCACAAATTTCATGCACGGGCATCTAGCATGGAATAATATGTTAGCTTGAGGAGTCAATTATTGGGGGAAATTTAGTAAATGAAGTTTGTAGCATTCTATTGCCTTGACTTTATTTCTTCTTTGGTGCTTCCTGTTATTCGTATGTTGGAGTTCTTTTGCTTATCATCAATATTTGTGACTTTCTATTGATTTCTGTTTACCTCTTTCTTCCTTTCTTTTTTAAAAAAAATACATTTTGATTGATTTCAGAGAGAGAAAGGAAGAGGGAGAGATAGAAGCATCAATAAGGAGAGAGAATTATTGATTGGCTGCCTCCTGCATACCCCTTATTGGGGAATCAAGCCTGCAAGCTGGGATGTGCCCTTGACCAGAATCGAACCTGGGCCCCTTCGGTCTGCAGGCCAGCGCTCTGTCCACTGAGCCAAAATGGCCAGGGCATTTCTTCCTTTCCTTTTGACGAACATATCCTCTTTCTCACCTTATGTTTCTCACAAGCCATGATCTGTTGCATTTATTTGCTCGAATGTTCCTTCTAGTTTAATCTTTACTTATGGAATGGTTATACAATGTACAATTATTTTTGACGTCTTATCATGATTTATCGACTTTACTTAATGGTTTTTATAGACCATTTCATTTAATCCCCACAACAACTCTCTGAGGCAGGTGGTGTATCTTCCTTTCAGAAAAGAAGAAATCGGTGCTCTGAGGAGAGTGATAGCCTGGCTTGTGGTGCGGATAGATTTAAAATCCAGGTGTAGGGGTCTCCGTGCTCCTAGCCATTAGGACCCATGGAACCTGTGAGAGAACTTTCAGGAAGGGCTGGACTTGAAGTAGGGGGGACTGATTTTGGCTCTCTTCTCTTTTTCTCTTTGTCGCAGGCAGCACCGAAAGATGCTGGAATCTTCACGGCACCTGCCGTGAGGAATGCCGGAGGGAGGAAAACGGCTTCATTTTCTGCCCGAGCGGCAAACTGTGCTGTGTGAAGCCCAGGTTCCAGCAGAAGCTTAGAGGCTGAAGCCCGAGGGCGCGACAGTGAAAAAAAGCCTGCCCTGCGTCCGAGCACCGAGACTCCTGATTCTATTAAAACACTTTGGCTGACGTCTGTGTGTGTCTCTTCGTAAACCCACTCACACTCAAGCGAGGAGGTGTAGGGAAGGAAGTGTTGATAGGAGAGGAAACGGGACTTACACAGATCTGACCTCCCCCAGTCCTTTCCGCTAAGGTAACAGGTAGGTTGTGTCATCACTTTTAGGTGACGGATGAGGCTTGGGCTGGTGAGTCCTTTAACCCAACGCCACATTACTAACCTGCGGAGGTTGCTGGGATTCAATGTCGGTCCGCATGCAAGTTTGCAATTAGCTCCTTGCCTCCTGGGCTATTGCTATCATAAATAGAAATGCGTATTGTATTCATTAGAATCATTCAAAAGCCAGGGGTAGACGTGTTACTCTGGGGTCCTGTTTTCTGGGATGGTTATGGAAGCTGAAGAGTTAGTCAGAAAACTGTGTTTATCCCTCAGCCTACTTCATACTCTGTTGTTTCTCTCTCTATGTATTATTCTATTTTTTAAAAAAAAAATTTAGTTTAAATTTTCATCAATACAATACGTCCACCTGGTTTTAAGAGTCAACGTTGAATAAGAGAGGATAATAAACTATCAGAGTCACCCATTTCCCCATTTCCATTTCTTGCTTTCCAAAGAAAACCATTTTCACATCTTTTGGTTGTTTCTTCGGATTTTACTTCCATATCTATAAACAACATGCTAACTTACATGGTCAATTCATAATTCTTATTTTTCAGCTTTACTGGTAGGTATTACCCATGAGACTCCTACTACCAGTATGGAAGGTGAGAATTTGATTCTTTTTTTTTTTTTTTTTAAATATATTTTATTGATTTTTTACAGAGAGGAAGGGAGAGAGATAGAGAGCCAGAAACATCGATGAGAGAGAAACATCGACCAGTTGCCTCCTGCACATCCCCTCACTGGGGATGTGCCTGCAACCAATGTACATGCCCTTGACAGGAATCGAACCCGGGACCTTTCAGTCCGCAGACTGACGCTCTACCACTGAGCCAAACCGGTTTCGGCGAATTTGATTCTTTTATCTCCAGTGAATATGTTCAGGGTCATCAGGGATTTATCAGTCTTATCTTCTTGGGCACTTGGACCTGCTCCACTCTGAACTGGTTGTCTCTACACCTGGTGACCTGCTGCTGTCCTCGATCTCCATCCACATCCTCTGGGAGAATCTCTTTCATAGTCTCTGAGATACATGCCCTGCTTACTGGATCCTGAGTCTCCCTCCCTCCCTCCCTTCCTTCCTCCTTCCCTCCCTCCTTCCCTTTCTCCTTCCCTCTCTCCCTCCTTCCTTCCGTCCCTCCCTTCTTCTCTCTCTCCTGGGCAGCCACAGAAATCCTGGCAGCCACGCTGACTGCCCTGCCTCGCTGTTCGTATAGCCTCTGCCCTGTGTAACCAGAGGGCCTGGACAGTGATCCTGCACAGCCTTGGAAATCAACCTGTGGTACCTTCCAACAGTGGAACTCAGTGCTCAGCCTGCCCTGGAGCCCAGCCCAGCTTATGGCCTTGCCCAGTTGCTGAACACAGCCTGCTGCCTCACCCTGGCCAGGACCCCAGCCAGCGACCCCACCCAATCACAGAGAATAGCCTGTAGCCCTACAAGGGAGCCGAACAGTAACCCCACCCAACCATGGAGCACTGTCTCTGGTCCCACCCGGCTGTGGTGTGCACCTGGAGGCCTCTCCTGACCAGAGGACCTGGTCAGTAAGCTTGCCTGATGGTGGCACACAGCCAGTGGGCTGCCTACCTGACTGTGAAGTCCGGCTTACAGCCCCACTCAGCTTCGGGGCACAGCCTACAGCCCTGCTTGACGGCAGTATTTTCATTGTTTCCAAGTGGCTTACCAACATTTCTGCCACCTCTCCTCTGTCCACACTGCTCTCCGAACTGGAATAGGCTCTCACATCCTCCCCCTCTCCGCCATTTCTCTGAAGTCTGTCTTCCTCCAAGTTTTGGAGATGGTCCTCCATGCAACCTTCTCTGACCCACCCTGGCCTTTGGCGATTGTCCCCACACTTCATTCTGCTGCAATAGGTTTTTTTTTTTTTTTAAATATATTTTATTGATTTTTTTTTTTTTTTTTTTTTTTTTTTTTTTTTTTTTTTACAGAAAGGAAGAGAGAAGGATAGAGAGTTAGAAACACCAATCAGCTGCTTCCTGCACACACCTTACTGGGGATGTGCCCGCAATCAAAGTACATGCCCTTGACCGGAATCGAACCTGAGAATCTTCAGTTCACAGGTCAATGCTCTATCCACTGAGCCAAACTAGTTAGGGCTACAATATATATATATATTTATTTTGATGAATCACAGGCTACTTTGAACTCTTTTTATTCATGTGGCCACTTTGCCTGATCACTACACTTGTCTTTTTGGAGGTTATTAAGGCTCTTTATCAAATATTTCTGGCTTTCGGGGTCCTAGGCCTGAGGTAGAATCGCACTTCTTGGCCCTCTTGTGGTGGAAGGGGGCGATGTCACCCTTGTGGCCAGTGAGTTATGAGCTACGACATGTACAACGGCCAGTTCCAGACCCCCCAGAGCTCTCTCCTGCTGTGATGGTGAGCAGCAACTGAGCGGCCATTCAGTAGTCTGGATGAGGAGATTTGGGCAGTGTCTCCTACCTGCAATGACGCTGCAGCTTGTGTGACGCGTAAATCTTTGTTCTTATAACCCACCGAGATTCCTTCTTTGTTACTGCTTCATAACGGGGTTTACCCTAATATAGCTGACTAGCAGGAGACTGTACCCTGTATTTTTTTGTGTTCAATAGACTCTGGGCACATAGTAGATACTTACTCAAGATCCGATTTATCTGGCAAACATTTCTTGAGTGTTTTTGGGAGGATATAAAGCTTATTTAAAAATTCGTGCTTTTTTTTTTTCCTAAGGAAGCCGTAAGAATTTCAAGGGCAGAAACCCTGTCGACAGCGCCTCTGCCACTACCTCAGTCCTCGATCCACAGGAAACTTAAAAGGCCTGGGTGGTTTTGGAAGCGGAGGGGGAGGTGAGAGAAGGGCGTTCTAGGAGGGATAGAAACATGACCAACAGGGAGGGAACAATGGCTGGCTCCTGGGAAAGTGGACACATAGAACAAAGGACTCGGGGAAAGAACTGCTTCTGAAAGTTTAGGCAGCAGCAGAGATAAGAAGCCGGGAAGACATCCTGGGAGGCACAAGGAGAACTAGGACAGCGATAAGCTGGGAACATACTCCCATACAAAGCTGGGACCTTCTTTATCGTGTCTCACTGAGCTCAAACAGAGTTGCATTGTGTGCAGGCAGGCTCAGGAGCGGGGTCTGTCCTTGAGAGTGGATTCGGGGTAAGCATGCTAGCTCTCAGAGTTGAGACCCAAAGTTTTGAAATGTTCAACTTTGACTTGAAGAAACACAGTGAGCAGAGAAGTCTCTGAATCACTGACCATCCTGTTCCTTTTCCTGAATATTGACTGTGTTGACATGCAAGGAGGGTCAGGAGAGCTTCAGGGAGGAAAGAGGTCAACAGTCAAATGCCCCAAAGGCGAGGAGGGTGAGTTCATAGTAGACACCAGCAGTGACCAGGGACCAGGGGCTTCCCCGGCAGTGCACTGGCCCATGCAATCTTCATAGCGAATCTCTGTGTCGGCAGCATTGTCTCCACGTGAGAGAAGGAAAAACTGAAGTCCAGAGACATTGCTCAGGGTCACTTAATTAATAGTGGCAAAGTGATGGCTTTAATCCAGATGTTTGGTTTTAAAGCTTATGTCCTTTGTTGACAGATTACTAAACATCATCCTAGCTAATAAAGAGGAAATATGCTAATTAACCATCACACCCTCACAAAGATGGTGGCACCCACAACCAATAAGGAGAAAATATGCTAATTTATTGCCACGCCCTCAAAGATGGTGGTGCCCACAGCCACAAGATGGCGGTGCCCAGTCCCCTCAGCCCCCCAGCCGCCCAGGGTTGCCCAAGGCACAGGTAGTCAGGGCCAGGCCGAGGCTTGCACTGCCAGCAGTGGCAGCAGCAGAGGTGTGATGGGGGTGTTGCCTTCCCCTGAGGGCTCTCAGACTGTGAGAGGGGGCAGGCTGGGCTGAGGGACACCCCCTTTCAGTGCATGAATTTTCATGCACCGGTCTTCTAGTTTCAAATAACTTGAAGAAAAAGCCTTAGCACGGCCATCACCAGGAGCCAGAGAGCTGGAATGTAATAGAAACTAGGAAAATTTCCAAGCTTATTTGGGCCAGTAGCTTCATCCTCTTTTCTCACCACTCACCCTGCCCCATGTCCCCACCCCAAAGCCTACAGAGAAGTGGCCTGTAGCTGCATTTCCTTTCCTGAGCTGCAGCGCTGGAAGCAGAGGATAACAGGGTGGGCGGCAGAGGCCTGAGAAGGGAGTGGGCAGGGTGCTGGCCAAGATGGGATAAACCCACTGGAAGCATAAGAAGGTTCAGTTTTCTAGGAAAGGCACACTCTAGCCAAGGAGGCTTCTGGTTAACACTGGCTCAAAGCAACAGCAATGACCTCACAGAGAACAGAAGCAGAGTTTTGAAATATCAGATACTATCCTATCTGCCACTAGGCCAGAGACGGTAGCGGTACCCACTTGTGGTTCAGGAAGAGAGGCAAACAGAGGTAACTTCCAGAGCCTAGATAGAGGATCAAGCACATTTGGTTGGTGTCGAGGCCAGGTTTCTGAGAACACGTTCAGTTTTGGGACTCGGGGTTCCTGGGCCTTCACAGCCAAGTCCACTCAGTGTGAACCCCTTTCTGCCAAAAGCTTGCTACCTTTCCACATCCTCTGATGGTCTTCCTAACGAACTCCTTACACACTCTTCCTTTCCAAGTCTGCAGTCTTGTTTGTTGTTTTAATTCTCACCTGAGGATATTTTTCCATTGATTTCTAGAGAGAGTGGAAGGGAGGGGGAGAGACAGAGAAACATCGATGTAAGAGAAACACATCAATTGGTTGCTTCCTGCATGTGTTCCCACAGGCAGGAGTTTGACCGACCAGGAGTTAGATGTGCGCAGACCACCAGGAGGTGGTGTGGAACATGGTGGGCATCAACGATGCAGAGCTGGCAGAGGGCGGCAGTGGAGGCACTGCAGGCCCCAATGGGCCCCAATGAGAGTGGGACCATGGCAGGATGGTGGAGCAGGTGAGTGGGCAGCACCAGGCCAAGGCGGCAGAAGAGGGAAGTTGGGGGCGACCAGGCTTGTAAAAAAGGACAGTTATGGGTGACCGGGCTGGCAGGGGAGCAGTTAAGCATCAATCAGGCTGGCAGGGAAGTGGTTAGGGGGTGGTCAAACTGATAGGCAGAAGCAGTTAGAGGTAATCAGGGAGGCAGGCAGGTGAGCAGTTGGGAACCAGCAGTCCTGGATTGTGAGAGGGATGTCTGATGGGAGGGTGCAAGCTGGGCTGAGGGATACCACCCCCCCCCCCGCCTGTGCACGAATTTTATGCACTGAACCTCTAGTACATTACAAAACAATGTCATAATCATAGTAAAAGGCCTTTGCCATCCAAGAGGATGCTGCTTGTTCTAATAAACATGCACTGTGAAAAGCAAGATCTGTGGCCCTCCTGCATATCTGGCTCCACAAATGCTGACATTTTAGTTTCCAGTGGTGATGGCCATGGAGCTAACAAGGTATTTCTGTCTGCTTCTACCCTTCAGTATTCTTAGAATGAACCACGGACATTTGGGACATCCTAAGATGTCTTTATTGCTGGCAAGAACCCAAGGAACAGTGAAGTATCACCTCTCTCTCCCCCCTCATTTAACAGAAATGAATTAATACTAAAAACATTTCCAGAGAAACTAAAACACCACCCCCATCACCACCAACAAAAACACCATTTATGGTTACAACAGCAACAACAACAAAATAAGACGCCTAGGAATAAAGGGAGGCCCTTGCCGGCAGCAGCGGCATCAGGCAGCCGGGGGGAAGGGAGGCCCTGGCCGGCAGCCGGCAGCCAATAGGGACCGTAGCTGTGCACAAATTTCATGCATTGGGACTCTAGTAATTTACATAAAATAAAATGCACCCATTTTATGGTGTAACTTTTGATGAGTTTTGACGTCGTGCACAGAACATTTTTAAAAAAATATATATTTTATTGATTTCTTACAGAGAGGAAGGGAGAGAGATAGAGAGCTAGAAACATCGATGAGAGAGAAACATCGACCAGCTGCCTCTTGCACACCCCCTATGGGGATGTGCCCTCAACCAATGTACATGCCCTTGACCGGAATCGAACCTGGGACCTTTCAGTCCACAGCAGAACATTTTTATCATCCTAAAAGTTCTGTTGTGCCCCATCTCAGGCAATGCCCACCATCCCCAGGCAACTGTGCATATGTTTTTTGGTCACTGTCAGTTAGATTTGTCTTTTCTTTAAGTTTCATAGAAATGAGCTTACTCTTTTTTTTTGTCTGGCTTCTCTCACCCAGTCAAATGCTTTTTAGGTTCTTCCATACCATGTGTAACAGCAGTTATTTCTTTATTGCTGAGCAATATTCTATTTGTATGGATATACTGCAATTGACTTGTTTACTAGTTGGTAGACATTTAGGTTGTTTCTACTTACGATGAATAGAGCTGCTATGAGAATTCATGTACATTTTTTGGTGTTTTCATGGGTCAATTATCTGACCCTGGAATTGTTGAGTTGTATGGTAGATGCATGCTTAACTTTGTAAGAAGCTGTCACTCGGCCAGTGTGGCTCATTGTTGAGTACCAACCTATGAACCAGGAGGTCATGGTTCAATTCCAGGTCAGGGTACATGCCCAGGTTGTGGGCTCCATCCCAAGAAGGGGGTGCACAGGAGGCAAATGATTGATGATTCTCCCTCACAATTGATGTTTCTATCTCTCTCCCTCTCCCTTCCTCTCTCTTACATCAATAAAAAATATATTAAAAAAAGAAACTGTTAAACTGTTTCCAAAAATGATGATACTGTTATAGTCAGCACTGGTTTTAAACACCCATCCATATTTACTTGTAATTATACATCTGATAAGGGTTAATTTCCAAAGTATGCAAAGAACTTATAAAATCAACAACAAGAAGACAAACAATCCAATTAAATAATGGGCAAAAGAGACTTTTCCAAAGAGGACATACAGATAGATGGCCAACAGATGTATGAAAAAAAAAAAAAGCTTAATCATTATCACCAGAAAGATGCAAATTAAAACCACAATGAGGTATCACCTCACACCTGTCATAATGCCTACCACCAATACATCAACCAATGACAAATGCTGGTGAGGATGTGGAGAAAAGGAAACTCTAGCACATTGCCGGTGGAATGCAGACTGGTGCAGCCACTGTGGAGAACAGTATGGAGGTTCCTTAAAAGCTTAAAAGTGGAATTGCCATTTGACTTCACTTCTAGGGACATAGCGTAAGAATTCTGAAACACCAACCAGAAAGAATATACGCACCCCTACGTTCATAGTAGCATTATTTACAATAGCTAAGATCTGAAAACAATCCAAGTGCCTATCAGTAGATTAGTGGGTAAAAAAAAGCTGTGGTACATTTAAAAAAAGTATACAATGGAACTCTATGCAGCTGTGAAAAAGAAGGATCTCTTACCCTTTGAGACAGATGTATGGATCTGGAGAATATTTTGCTAAGTGAAATAAGCCAGCCAGAGAAAGACAAATATCACATGATCTCACTTATAGGTGGAATCTAAGGAACAAAATAAATAGATGAACAAGATAGTGCTACAGAGAACTGGAATAATCAAACAATGCCGGAGAGTTTGGAGTCACACTTTATTATGAGCAGGTCCAGAGGAAAAAGTCTCTCAAATTCTGGGCCCCAGCATGAGGAATTTTCCCTATTTATATGTCTTTACCTTCTTTGTCTCTCAAATATGGGGTGTTTCCGGCCTCCTTTGCAAGTTCTTAAAGAGCCCCTTTGTGCTGGGGCCTTGAGACCTCAACCAAAGGCCTGGCCTGGTGCCAGCACTGATAATTTTGTCCGGGGAAGGTTTAATGGCCTCTCTGAAGTGGGAGTGGTCTTATTTTCCTTATTCTTTAAGCAAGCAAGCATTTACAGAAGCCAAATAGCAGGGTTAAAATTTCAAACAGCAGTTTTTATATAAGACGGATGCTTCAATAGGACCACAAACATGGAAGCATGAAATAGACAGACAGATCTCAGAGGGAAGGCGGGCGGGAAGAGATTAATCCAAGAGCTTATAAGCATGTATGGACACAGACAATAGGCAGGTGAAGGCCTGGGTGTGGGGATTGGCAGATGGATGGAGCGGGGAGGGGGCAATAGTGGAGAATGGAGGCCATCTGTAACACTCTCAACAATAAAATAAATTCTAAAAAAAATTCATTTCCCTTTTCACTCTCTAGCTGCATTATAAAACTTTTCAAAGATAAAGCTGTGTCTTCTCTTTGCTAACTTTTCTTCCACCCCCCTTCCCCCCACTCCCTAGCCTCCTCTGGAAGTGTGGCTGATTACTTGTCTGCCCATTTAATCTTAAATGACTGTTCCCTTTCTGGTTCACTGGCCATGGCTCTACCCTGTTCCTTGGGGCAATAAATACCAGTCTGGACTGCTGGACTTGCCAGCCCAGAAGCCTCTTATCTTCTATCACCCATGAAGCTCATTCTTCTGGTTTTGACCGTTATCCTGACATGGGCCCAGGCCGCCAAAGGTAATCAGGCTCTCTCGCCAGGGAAGTGGCTCAGGGAACCTAGAGCCTACACAGGGAACGCCGTGGCTCTAACAGCTTGGGCTGGGAGAAAGGCCGGGCAGGCTCCACTGAGGCCTTTGGCTGATCTTTCTCGCTAAGGGGAAGTTTGGGTTCTCTGGTACCAACAGATCTTTCTGGGGCCATTACTTGACCATCCTGAACTGCTCCCTGGCTGGCTTAGAAGAGGTTGAACATGACCTGGGGGTGGGGTATGGGGAGCAGGGAACCAGGAGGAGAGAGATTAGTGCATGGAGTACAGAGGAAATGGGAGTTTTCTGAAACATTCCCTGGAGGTTTGAATTTTGATCTCTCCTTGCCTCCGTGAAAATGGTTCCTGAATTTCCGATGCTTTGAGGATTCTGATGCCACTCTCTTAGGCAGCCTTAATGGATCTCCTTTGGGTGGCAGGTTCCTTAGAACGATTGTTCCTAATGATCTCGGCAGCAAAAAGCCCCAGGCTGTTGCGGAGAAGGAAGTGTGACTTGCAGATGTCCACATGGTGTGTCTCCAATTCCTGTCCCTTTTCAGTGTCGGGTCAGAAAGGTACTGAAGGACAAAGGGAACGGGAGCTAATTGATACTGGGCCCCTGGCTATCTTGTGACATGAGAGCGATGGAACCCTGGAGAGAGGAGACCTCTTACCTGCCCCAACGAGGTTCCAGGCCGCTGAGCAAGAAGGACTTCGAGGTTGTCACTGGGAAAAGAAAGGATAGTGACCTACAATCTCTCTAAACCTGAATCTCTCTAAGCATGAGGGCTTCTTTCCACACATGTCCTATTTCCCTGACTCCGTCTTCTCTGCTTTGGCCTCCGGCTTCTCCCGTTCTCCGCTTCACCTCAAGACTAAGCTTGCCCCCTCTTTCCCTTTTAATTTCAGTCATGAAGTGCTGGGGTCGTTCCGGAGTTTGCAGAACCACGTGTGGAGCGGGCGAAGTATTCTACATATTATGCAATCCTGAGGCCCAGTGCTGTGTGAATCCGAAGTACCTGCCTGTCAACACTGAATCCTCAAATTCAGCTGGAAGCCTGGGGTAACCCATGCAGCCCCACAGCTCCAGGCCAACCTGGATCTAACATCGCTGCATCCCACAGTCCTATTAAACCATTCTTGGCTTACCCGGTTTGTGTCTGGCAGTTCCACCACGTGTACTTAGAAATAAATAGAAAGGAAGAAAGGTGTGTGTGTGTGTGTGTGTGTGTGTGTGTGTGTGTGTGTTGCAGGGGGAGGGTGTTAAGGAAACAGGATAGACCAGTGGGTGGTAATAATCTCAGTCTTGTACATAGCTCCTAGCCTGTCAAAACCGGTTTGGCTCAGTGGGTAGAGCATTGGCCTGAGGACTGAAAGGTCCCGGGTTCGATTCCGGTCAAGGGCGTGTACCTTGGTTGCGGGCACATCCCCAGTAGGGGTGTGTAAGAGGCAGCTGATTGATGATTCTCTCTGATTGATGTTTCTAACTCTCTATCCCTCTCTGTAAAAAAATCAATAAAATATATTAAAAACAAAAACAAAACATAGCTCCTAGCCTGCTGGTCCTCAGGGCCGGTCCCAGGTGATAGAAATAAGGGACTTTCATTCCATCCATCTGACGCTTGTCTTCTAGGCCAGCACAGCAACACTTGCTGCAGTGATGGAAGTGTTCTATGTCTGTGTTGTCCTGGACTTAACATTGTTTGAGCCTCACTCTAGACCTGACCCTGTTATATGGTAACCACTAGCCACATGTGGCTAATGAGCACTTGACATTTGGCTAGTATGACTGGTGAACTGAATTTTTAATTTAAATTAATTTATATTTAAACTTACATTGCTAAATGCATATAGCTAGTGGTTATTGTATGGACAGTGTAGCTTTAGAATCTGTAAGGCAGAGGCAGGCTATGGGGCTCAGTCTCTGGGTATTTTAGAGGCAGTCAAGGAGGCCAGAAGAATGTGGGATGAACATAAGAATCCATTCTTAGCCTGCTGTGTGTCTTTCATTATTGGATGTGATGGTCAGAATTTGTCGGAGACAACAAGGGCAGAAAAGGAATTTCTTAAAAGGATAGCATGTAGTTCACAGAACGAACTGAAGTCTGGACAATTGGGCTTGGCAGGTCCTAGGGGGAGTGGACAGCAGGAATTACCAACCAGGAGCCCACCACCCGCACGGCCATCCTAGCCCTGGACAATAGCATCACACCTGAACTCTTGCCATTGCTAATGTGAATATTCTTTTCACCTTCGCTGTGGTTTGGGTTTAATGTTTTAAAATTCGGAGTCCTTTGTGAGAGTGTCCAGTTGGCCAGGTTTGGGTCGTGTGCCTGCCTGCTAGTCCCCAAGGGGCACAGAAGGAGATTTGTCTTCAGTGCTTTCTGTGCTGGGCGGTCAGTGCTCCTTTCCATGAAGACCCAGAGAACAGAGTCACTCCCAGGTGGAAGGGGGTTCAGATGCTGAGTGTCCATCAGGGCACAGAGGACCGCTCCCAGGGAATGCTGCCCCTGCAGCCTTTCCTTTAACCTGGACTGTTTTCCCTTCCCCTTGGACCTTTCTGATTGCCAGGGGCAGGACTAGGTGAGGAGAGAGAGAGGTGCCGGTGACATAGCATCTGAGGAGGCACTCACTCTTAGGGGCATGCAAGTGCCTCTTGTAATGCTGCACTCTAGGCACCTCCTTCGCCTCCCCTCACACCTGACCCTGCCAGTTGCACCCTGCACTTCTCCTTTGCAGCACCCACCATAGCTTACGTATAAATGGATTAAATGCTCTAATCAAATCACATAGGACGGCTGAATGGATACGTTAACAAGACCTGTACATATGCTGTCTACAAGAGACCCATTTGAGATCAAAAGATACACCAGACTGAAAGTAAAGGGATGGAAAAAGATATTTCATGCAAATGGAAAAAAAAAAAGCTGGGCTAGTAATGCTTATACCAGACAAAATAGGCTTCAAAACAGCCAGCCTGGCCGGCGTGGCTCAGTGGTTGAGCATCAACCTCTGAACCAGGAGGTCATGGCTCGATTCCCCATTAGGGCACATGCCTGGCTTACACACTTGATCCCCAGTGTGGGGTGTGCAGGAGGCAGCCAATCAATGATTCTCTCTCATCATTGATGTTTCTATTTCTCTCTCCCTCTCCCTTCCTTTCTGAAATCAATAACAATATATTTAAAAATATACAAATAAAAAATTTTAAAGTACTTGGCCTGGGTGGGACCCATCTGGGAACTTGGTAACTAGTTTCTGACCCCACCAAGGAGTTCAGGCTGCAGGGAGTGAGTGGCCCTTTAAAAACTTAAAAAAGCAACTGCACAGATTTCAGGGGGTGAATGCTGCTGGTCTTAGCGAACTGGCCAGGCCAGGCTGTACCCATGTGGGAGGCATTACAGTCTGTTCTGGACCTGGTGGGCCCCGGGAGATATCACACAGTAACCAGGACAGCTTGGCTGTCCCACCAGGCCTGCCGCTTTCCCTGTCTCCTGCCTGCTTTGCTCACCATGGCTTCTACTTACTGGCTACCTCTGTAGCTCCTGCTCCTTGCTCTCCCTTCAGGCACTTCTCTTAGCTTTGGATCAGATCTCCCAGCTTAATAGAAAAATCACTGGGCAACTGCCATGTTCCAGTCATAGAATGTAGGGGAGAGAGTTGAGCAAAGGAACTGAGAACAAATACACATGCAGATATGTACTAAAATTATGCAAACACACCTCGTTACATGTCCATACACAACTACATGCAAGTATAAAATACACATGTACATGCAAATACTCATACACAAACTACATACAAATAACACATGCACACAAAATATACATAAGACATACAAAATTTGAGCATATACAGATATGCAAAATTTACACACATATAAACAAGTACATATAAACAAAGTGCAATACAAATATAGACCCAGGCACCAAACATAAATGTGCTATAGCAATTAAACTATCTTTTTTATCCTAGCTAGTTTGGCTCAGTGGATAGAGTGTTGGCCCAAGGACTGAAGGGTCCCATGTTCCATTTTGGTCAAGGGCACATACCTCAGTGGCAGGCTCGATCCCAGGCCCTGGATCCCCGGGAGATAACCAATCAATATGTCTCTCTCACATCGATGTTTCTCTCTCTCTGTCTCTCCCCCTTTCTTCCATTCTTTAAAACCAATGGAAAAAAAATATCCTCAGATGAGGATTAACAACAACAGAAAAACAACAAAAACCTATCTTTTTCCATTTTTCTTTATTTTAATCAAGGCCATTTCTCATTCTTTGGGCAATTTGTGCATATCAGGATTCAAAAGGGGGCTTATGAAACATTGCAAAGAGTTGTAATAAGAAAGGGCCTGACATCTCCAGATTGGGAATTTCTAGTTTATTGCAATGATAACATTACAGTCACTCGTGTCAGGTGTTATTCTCCGTGATTTATGTGTATTCACTCATTGGATCCACATTAACAACCCTATGAAGTGAGCACTATTATTACTTCCGCAATATAGCTGAGGAAATAGGTCCAGAGTTAAATTTTCAAAACAAAGTAACACTGTCGATGCTGAATCCTGCAGACACTGAATGAGGTAGTCAAGGGCACGTGGCTCCTCAAACCCTGGACCAAACCAAACACCTGGCACCTCCGTGGCACTGCTGGGTGGTGACCCCAAACTCCCTCATCCTGGGAAGCAACACTGCACACAGATCAAACCCTTGCAAACACTGAGTGAGTGACCTTAAACACAGAGAGGTTTACAGTGCTGCCCAAGTAGAATTCAAAATACAACACTAACTCTGAAATAAAATGTTACTTATTTGAAACTAGAGAACCAGCGCATGGATTCATGTACCGGTGGGGCCCCTCGGGGTGGCCTGCGGGGATTGGGCTGAAGTCTGCAGTCCAGTGCCGCCTGCCACTTCTGCCTGCCGCTCCCGCCTGCTGCAGTCTCCTGCCCAGTTAGTTCTGATCAGGAGAGGCTCAGGCCACTGCAGCAGTGCTCACCAGCCAGCCCTGCGTCTGGCGCCGCTTTTCGGTCAGCTGAGTGACACTCCTGCTGTGGCTGTGGAGCTCAATGACTACCAGGGGCAGCTCCTGGATTGAGTGTCTGCACCCTGATGGTCAGTGCACATCATAGCAAACAGTCGACTGGCCTTTCAGTTGGTGGGTCAGTTGCTCAGGCTTTTATATATAAAGACTAGAGGTCTGGTGCACAAAATTTGTGCACAGGGGTATGTATGTCCCTCAGCCCAGCCTGCACCCTCTCCAATCTGGGACCCTTTGAGAGATTTCCAACTGCCCATTTAGACCCGGTCTCACCAGGTCAGTCAGACATCCCTCTCACAATCCAGGACTGCTGGCTCCCAACTGCTTGCCTGCCTGTCTGCCTAATTGCCCCTAACTGCTTCTGCTTGCCAGCCTGATCACTCCCTAACCACTCCCCTGCCAGCCTGATTGACGCCTAACTGCCCTCCCCTGCAGGCCTTGTCCCTCCCAATTGCCCTCCCTTACAGGCCTGATTGCCCACAACTGCTCACCCCTGCTGGCCATCTTGTGGAGGCCATCTTGTGTCCACATGGGGGCAGCCATCTTGTGTGAGGACGTGAGGGTCAATTTGCATATTCTTTATTATACAGGATGATACAAAGCATTCTTTCTTTCTTTCTTTTTTTTTTTTAAACAAAGCATTCTTGTAGGCTAAAATTAAAATGGGTTCTTGGAGATTTCCTGACTTTATTTTTGACCCATACCCTGCTGGGGTTCTGAGCACACATTCAGTTTTCTTATTGGGCCCTCCAGTCCTGATCACAGGTTTCCACCTCTCAGCTCTGTGTTTATGGGTGATTCTCTTGTGTCACCCAGAATGACTTTCCTAGACTGTCCATTTTCTCCAAGCCCCATCCCTCCACCCAACAAAGGAACTTAGCTCCACTTTTAATGAGACAATAGAGGTTCAACCCACTCAAGGTTCCCATCCCCTTCTCTGACCCTTCAAAACAAAAGTGAATTGAGCACTATTTGCCCAGCACTGTGCTAAACACAGGATAGGCATTTTATTATCAATTAAATG